AGGAAACATCGATTCCGTAAGCACTGATAGGTTAAAACCGGCTTATCTCGATCATGAACCGCTATACACGTTGTTATGCCGTTTGCTTGGCAAAACAATCACGTATTCCACAAGTAAGAACGAGATTTCTGTACAAGTAACTACAAAGATTAGGTGGGCACAGCCGAATATTCAATCAAGAAAATCCGCAGTTTTGGATGCATTCTAAAATGTAAACACGTATCTACTAAGATGTTGTTTTTAATTTAATAATAGGTTTTCTATTCGCATCGATTCACCTGTTTTGTTTTACTAAAACAGCATTACCAAAAAATGTCGTCTGAAATATTATGCTGCGCACCCTATTCATATCTTTTTCTTTTGATGTATGAGCGTTATATCCATTTTTTAAGTAATCGGTACATGAGCGATTTCATACTAAACAATCCGCCAAGTAATATAAGTCGAAAACACATCAAAGGGGGTTAGTCACAAATAAACGAAGAATCTTCGACTGAGGTGGGTGATGTGAGCAGGTTTCGCCTTCCAAATTAGCTATTTTCTTAGAATTTGCCACTAAATATGAAAGTTGTATGGAAACGCAGAACAAAATTCCTATGAACACTTGTTATGAGCCGCACAATGAACCCTCGCGATAACAACGAGTTTCAAAAGCAGTCCAGGTGTTTTACCTTTTTGCTGGTTCATTTACTATGTTTTCAGTACTTTTCAAGGTATGTATTTTCCCACCGTGACTGGCCATATATACTTCATATGAACCACCCCTGAAACCGTTTACGGCATCTGTTTATTAGCTTTATATTACTCATACAACTGATATAAAGTTGTTTTTAGACGAAGCGATTTAGATCAAACAACGATTCAATACTTGTAAGTGGTTCTGATTGTCATTTTTACATACTTATAAATGTTACGCATTGGGTTAACTGGTATTTCTGCAGCATGATTTGTAATGCAATCATATAACTCAGTTACATTGGTATCACTCAAATTTTCTATTTTGTTTTTAGTTTCTGAGATTTTTGAATCAACAACCGTGAATATATTTTGAACCATCAGAAGCCTTGGACATATGAAACAGTACCACCTGTTTTATTTTCCATAGCTAATCTTCGCATCAAAATTAAACGTAGCTATTCATAATGGTTTGTCGACATCGTCATGAAGCTTTATTACGATTTAACACCCACGTAATATGGTCGAGTTAAGTGACGAAACTAAAAAGTGAATCAGCCAATAACCTGAATAATAACTATTCATCCAGATAGTGTTGTTTTCTTAAAGTTATTTTTATACAAACGCTGACGAAAAATTCATACCATTATCATAGAAATGCGTTGCCAGTCTACCACTCTTTGGCTAAAACTGATGCTTTCTCTGATGATCACATGGATTGTGCTCATTTTATCGATTTACGAAGACTTAATCGTGCAGTACATTATCTGTGAGGTTATTGTATTATCTGAATTGATTTCACATGCATAATTTAAAGCTTATCGAATCATAGCTTCTGTTTAACCTAATGCTCAAAACGTGACCAAACCTTAATTCATAAAAATAACGGTGTTTATATTTTGTTTTTGTTGTCGTATGACTGACACCTACCACAAATGTGACCTTTTTATTCAAATATTATTTGTATAAACAAAAAACACTTGTACTGTTCATATTTTAAAAAGCTAAACACCAACTAACCGTGATCCAATGTGGCTTGTTAGGAGTTTTTAAATACTGATTCGTTCCTTTTTTATTTCTTTCCTTATTTCTGAGTGACTAACAATCGGCGGACATTGTATCGATGTGAATTTGGTGAACAGAAATACCGACCCCACACACACTCGAACCACCATCCCTCTAGTGCCAGACCAAGTGCTTGACCAATAGACCAAACCAACCCGTGGCGAACGTAACTGTAGTATTTCCTTACACTAGTAAATTATTGGCGACACTTACGACAAACAGAATTTGCACATTTGCGAGATGCAAACCAAATCGTTTCCTGGTTGATTAAGAGACATGGTCTCTCCATGAAATGCATACCTATATCAGGCCCACCAAACGGTGAATTGTAAGATTCCGATTATATAGTTAGCCATAGAAAACCCATTCGATTTTCGTACTCGTAGTAATTTTCCTTCTCTATTTTTCCGGATCAGGTACTACACTTTTCACCCGCGGCTACGAACCCGGTTATGAACATCATCCATTACAGACCCAAAGTCATGTATTTGATCGAGTATAACGATGAGTCCAACATTTGGCAAATTCAAGCATCTACATATATATTAAAAAAAGTGGATTCTTTTCTTTAAGTACGTTTTCGTACACATGATGTCTACACTGTGTCTATTACCTACCAGAGTGCAAATACGTTCTGGGAACAAAACACGTATTTGGAACCGAGCAACTATCGACATTTATGTATTTCTTTTTTGTACCTCAGTATTTTATACAGGCATCGGAACAGTTCTTCCGGTATAACTGACTTTTATAGTTGTCTTGGAAGTAGATTCTTTTTTATCTTTAACTTTAGGGAGTCTTCAGAGGTAGGTGAGTAACCACCTGATAACCGGACAGAACATGGAAAAATTATACTTCACCAATATGGTTTTGGGTCGCATGATCGCGTCACTTCGTCAGATATTCATTTATTACCCTCTTTGTTCTTGTAAGTTCTGATCGCCATACAGAGGGCGCGTCGCAAACCAAGAGGTAAGATAACAGGCTAGAAAAGAAAAAGACACCCACGGAATATTGTCAAATACTGACGAGCTTGGTCGTTATTAATTGACAGTTTAGCAGTGAATGAGCTAGTAATTTGTAGAATTATGGTCCGCTTCTATATCAGTACTGTTATAATAACAGTCCAAGTCTTAAGATTGTGGATTTTTTATGTTGTAACTGCTCCATCTGTGATCATACGTGGAAGTCGCATCATACTCTACACCGACACATCGTATCGTAACAGTTACCAATATATGATCGAGGACATATTCAGGCTGGAAATAGAACCATATATTCGAACCGACGTACCCACGGAAGAAGCTAATGTAACAAATGGGCTGGTTAGTTAAGAGTTGATCCCAAACATTTGAATATATGTCAAAACAACAGAGCACAGGTATCCATTCATTCCCTTTATTTGTAATGAATATTCAAAAACATTGTGTGGTTGAACAAGTTACCTCGTGTTCTTCTGTGAGCAAAATAAATGCCTATCCGCCATTAGCTTGATGTTTTCTGTCAACAGAACGAGGAATACCCACAGGCAAGAAAATTACAAAATTTCTAGAAGTAATAAGCCGAAGGAATGATTTGTCCGACTTGAAATTGGGTGATAAATGGATCCCACAGCTTCAAACAGAGGTATGGAAATTTAATTCCCTTCCATTACGTACACGGTATAATGTAATATGTTTAACATTTCCTTCAAGGACAACAGAAGCGTTAAGCATTCGGTGAAGAGTAAATGGATCCAGAACGCATGCATGCGAAATAAGTCACGGTTCGATTTTGTATAATTTGCCTAATAACTATACCTTAGAGGACAGGCAAATGAGATTATTACCAATCGAGTGAGCATTTATCGAAGAATGGGCAACGAAGTTGTAAATGGTGTTGCTGCTATTTTTTGCAGGGATGCATAGGAATATGGAAACTCTCCGTGCAACAGCATCTCATCTTTAATAGGACAATATGGTCAAGGACAACTAACTTATTCTAGATGGAAGACATCATACATTGAGCCGATCAGTGTAGTTCTCAAATGTTTTCACACAATTATCATCTACTTTTGTGAGAGCTGAAATTACTCATACGGATTTAAATGCACATACGGGGCCTCAAAAAACCGAATATACTGCCTTTTCATTTATGCCTAGCAATCAAAAACTTTTGGATACACACATTCAGAATGCGTCAGTGTAGTGATACGCGTCTAGCTGGAAGAAACCGTGTGCTGGGGGAGCATACAGAATAATTTGAAGAGAGCTGGAAAACAGAAGAACAAAAGAAAAGGATAAGTGACATTTCAGTAAGCGCTCAAAATGCACTGACATATAATAAGGGAAGTAACAGGCGACAATCAGTAATGACAACAGCTCTGAATTGAGACAACCTTGGAACAGAAATCAGAAAAGCATAGCGTAAAGTTAAGGTCTTTTACAATCAATCATAGTCGAAAGGAATCCCACGAACGACAGTTCATTGATACAGTATCTAATTAAAGTAAACAGTTATACCTACAGTAGTAGTCTTAATTGAGTATAACAAAGAGAAAAATTATAGCGCTAAGTAAACCTCAATAAAATTGTTCTCTGTGTGTCTTCTACACTGATAATAACTTCACTTGAATACCTTTGATTATTTGCCTTCAGGAAATCCAGGTGACACAAAACATGTGGTTCTGGTGAAAATTGCAATTAAACTCGAGGTCAAAGAATGAGATTTGAATAGCGATCCATTCTCACGGAAGAATTACTGTTGTACAGTCAAAAGTAGCAACTTGAATGTTATCCTATTTATAAGAAAGAAAAGTAATCTCCTTGGAAAAATCCCTCAACTATATTTAAAGCCACTGAATGTGGTTTGCAAACTAGATCGTCCAGCTAAATTCTCGCCTATATTCTTCTGCATATGCATAAAATCTTTTCCGTATGTATAGCAAATTATTTCTCTCATTTCGGATTGATATTTATTGTCAGATTGACGTAGTTTTTTCTTAAAGCCTGGGTGAATGCTTGGCCGGCCTAATGTAGTTATTTATAACAAAGCAGATTCAAGCAAGTGAAATGCATCATTCATCAAGTCAAAGATAGACCATAGTCAAGTTTTTAAACAAATATAAGCTCTATAAGTGTTACACTTTATTCACCTCCTTAATCAGGGTGATTATGAACATGGATGTCGTTAGTTGTTTATAAAATGTTGATTGAAGGGATTAAGTATTTAAACGAAATGACAGGCGGCTTTGAGCGAACATGATTTTTTTAATGTCCCGAAGTAAATGCTGTGGTGAATTTAAATCAGATACCTTTCGGTCAAGGTCACGTCTGTGTTATCGCTCACGTGAGTAAATATTTTGTTATAGAAATAAGATTTTTGTTAAAGACTGGTAATCTTACTTCAGATAATGTAGCTTAAAAGATCGAGTTTATGTTAGGTATAGTTCAACCCAGAATATATTTTTGATTATTGGTTTTATTTCTCAACATGCATTGTCTTCGGTCATCATTAATAAGGATAATGGGTCTATCAACCTGTATTAATTCTTCAGTTTGTAACACTGTGGAGGTCCAGTCTCGTTTTGAATATATCAACAGAAGGTGCTGATATTACGTGTTCTGATAGAGAATTCCAGCTGGAATTACTAGTAATTCACTACTCGGTGCGAGAAACGAAACTCCAGACTTAAACGATTTCATCTCAGAATGTGACTGCAAGAGCGTTAGGGATAATAATATAAACATCTCATCCAAATACTGGAAAGACCTAGGAATAGACCACAATACCCTATAGGCTTTTGCAGCAGCCTTACAGTAACTAGTAGTTCTGAGATCACTGCTTAGTATCACTCCTGAATCTTTGTAGTTTCTTACTTTGGGTAGCACGGATCCACATATTGTGCAGTGATACGAATCATTACAGTTATTTGACTGCATCATCGCACTCTTGTTAGGATTTACTTCTAGTGACCACCTGTCCATCCATGCCACCAATGAGCTGGGATCCTCCTGTGATACTATTCTATCTGACATGCTGTGTATGGGTCTCCGAATTATTATGTGATCACAGAAGAGTTGAACGGATGATTTTGCTACAGTTGTTAATTCATTTACATAAAGTAAAAAAAGAAGAGGACCGAGGATTGTGTCTTGGGGAACTCCACTTTTTAGAGGTTCCCACGATGAGAGTTCCGTTTACATTTACCCTTTTCCTCTTGTCATGGATAATGTTACTTATCTAGTCTATGACTGTATAATGGATTCCAAAACTTTCCAGTTTTGATTTGAGACCGGAATAGGAGACCTTATCGAATACTTTATTTAGATCTATCAAAAGCACATATACATGAACATTTTTGATCTTTTGCAGCAGCCCAATCTTCTATTGCAATGAGATTTGTCAAACATGATAGGCTTCTCTGAAAACCATGTTGTTCTCTGGATAAAGAATTATGCCCTTCCACATAGTTTATAACAGCTATCCGGATAATTTTTTGTATTAGTTTTACAACTGCACTAGTTAAGCTAACGGGTCGATGGTTACTAACTAAATCCCTACTCCCAGCCTTATACACCGGACTAATTGTCTCGTCTTTCCAGTCCCTGGGCAGTCTGGACTACCTCAGAGACATATCAAGCAGTATTGCTAAAGGTTCAGCAATTACATCTAATAGGGCTTTCATAATCCTAGGATGAATATCATCAGAACCACTGGATTTATCAGGTTTGAGATGTTGAAGTAGTCTTAAGACATTGCTTTTCTCAATAACTGCAAGGTCCATCAACAAGCTGCTATAGTCACAATGAATCGTTGGTCGTTCTTCATCACTGATAGCAAACACTTTATTGAAAAAATCCGATAAAGCATCAGCTTTTTCGGCATCATTTCTAGTCTTCTGTATTCTTCCTGTCCCTTGTTTTTCTCTTTCAAAATTTATTTCACTGTATTATACTCCTTGAATAACATCTTCAAACCCTAATCTTTCCGATTAATGCCTATACTTTTACTACCTCTACCACTATGGGATTTGAATCGACAATTGTATCTCTGTGCTAATCTGGTATGGCAACTTGAGCTGATGTACATACGTACGAAGTTCTACGTTGTTGCTGACTGACGCACCGCACATTACAGTTTTGATATATTGTATGGAACAGTAAGCTAAGTAGTGTTTGTGAAAAATTCCTTGAATAGTTCACTAGTTTATCCTATTCTAATTTTTCCCTTTAATGTAAGTTTTAAGCTTGAATGCACATAATAGTCACTGGTTTCGGGCTTTATGGAAGCTGCGAATACAATTCTAGTTCGTTGGCTGTCAATCGTTTGAAACAAATTTGGAATAAAACGTATACTGATGCTTGTACTGGCATAAAACTACACACAATAGAGAATGTTCCTGTTACGTATGAAGCTGTTGACCAATGCGTTAATTCTATCTGGAAAGAAAACCCTGTAAGTAAAATACCTTTGTATAGGCTGAAGATTTTATGCAGCTGATTTAAGCTAATCTTTGTGGTCTCACTAATTGTTCGATTTCAGTGGAATATAAGTTGCTAAGTTTGATCTTTATTTTAAAAGTCAATTTAGCCTATTTTCTTTCTGCTGTTTCTTACCAATAAACCAAAATAGTGTGATTTTTAATGTGATCATTTTTAGATGTGATAACTAGAAGTGTCGGTGATATGTAGTGTATACATTTTTTCGTGGCTTCGAGGCAATGTCTTGGTTTTCGTTTACCCAGTACTAAGTAACACTTTGCTATAACGAGTGCCAAATAGCACAAAACCTAGGTCTAGGGTTTCCTGCCTTACATCTCAACATAATGCATGTGATATGGAGTCACTTAGATTTGTGGCAACTATATAGACGGAATTCGATCAGCACTAAAGAAAGACTTCACATGCATGAAATTGAACGCTGCTCAGTGATCGATCCATTTTTAAAAATATCTTAGGAGCATCATCGTTCTCATATTTTTAAGTATTTCCTGACAATGTAGTATATTGAAGTGCATTATTACCATTGTTAATTAAATGTCTTTATTTGGTTACACTTACCATTTTTCCAGCCGACGTCAATTTTAAACAAGTTGAAGTAGGCAGTGACTGGGCGCATATACTTTCAACCACCTCACTTGATAAAGGTTTGAATTCAAAGTATCTAGAGAGCATTTTTATTTTCATATGATCCCATAAAATTTAATGTGAGGTTTTAGGCATGTCTCAACATGGTGTTTTTGAAGAACATGGAAAGTGGTTAGAATTATTTTTGGATTTTTTAATTTATTCATCTGACATCAGTAATGTAGATCTATACAGGAAGTCAACTCAATTGGTATCCAGCATACTTTACGCTGATAATTCATGCTGTTAGATTACATCCCTCAACGTGCTCTCTAGTAGGAATTCAAGTTAAAATTGTCACTCCTTCGTCCTGTCAATTTTAACTGATATTTAAATATTTTTGAGAGGAGTGATAACTATGTCAGACCAAAATATATTCACATATTATAGAGTATTTCGTCGTGTGGAGAATATGTGTAAAGTATTGTTTTAATGGCCTTTAATTACAAAGTCGCGTACTTTACGTTGTGTTTGGTTTTTATCAGTCAATGTTTTTAATACCAACATATTTAAATAGTTTTTAAGTGTTGTCTGTCTAACTTACTAATTTCCATTAGGATTTAGTGATACATGTCGGTATGGATACCAGTGTGACGATGCCAATTTTGGAAACTCTGTCGTATAATAGTGGTTACGATAAGCCAGATATGGATGGCGCTTATTGTGGAAATAATGGTTGTGTTAATATTCATGGTGAACCAATCCTTTATTGTAACATGAATTTGAGCAAAGCATACAGTAAACTAGTGGATAATCGTACTGCTTGTTCACTTTCAAATGATCCAGGCAGGTTTTTATGTGGCTATATTTACTACAAGTTAGTTTAATCCGTTATTACTTCTATCATTTTATCCTGTTATCTAATATAGATCACTGGAATATTCACCTGATCGAGTTGTTTTCGTACATGTCCCATGTGCAGCTAGAATGTCTGTTGAAGATACTGCTATTTCACTTCTACAGATTGTTCGTGAACTAACTGCTTTAAAAGGAGTTGTAATTCCTTACACATAAACTACTTAACAGCAAACTTCTTAAAAATCTTATTTCCTATAAATTTTTGTGAGTAAATTATTAGAATTTCAATTAACCTGCACGGTGGTCTTCTCTATGCACTGAGAAAAGCTGATTTCATGTCATTATTTTTATACTTATTATGCCTGCATTCTTTTATGCTCTGACGGCATTAACAAATCATTAAAATGAGCTCAATTTTCTGTATAGAATAATTTACTTTCAGGTATAGAAAAAATGAATTTATTTTCAGGTTTCTTATTTTGCTTTATTGACCTGATTCTTAAAAACGAGAGAAAGTGTTTCAAATTCATGCTAACACTTATATATAATAAATACTAAACAAGTCATTATCGATATATATTTTTTAACGATTTCATATCTGTTATAGTTTAAAATAGTAACGACAATCTCTCTGTTTCAAGAAACGCAAAAAATAAATGTTAAGGAGGTATTGTTTTTACAGAGTGATGTATTTCAATCGAAGAAGGGATTCTATATAAAGTCTCTGAACCTATCTTCAAGCTCTTATTGTATTTAACATGTATTTTATAATTCATATGCCAAGAAACTACTTATTTCGACTTATTATACTGGCTGAGAGCGCTTAAACTGGAAGACAAGTTATGGATAGACTATGGTATATCATCAGTACACGAAATCATTACTTATTGATCTAGAACATGTCAAGATGTGCAAGATTCATCGTTCTGCTAGGCAGGGCAGTCATAGTCTGTTGTAGGAAATTTTAGACAACGTGGTTTAAAATCAGTCTGAGTAGTCGGATACATTGATATTTTTTTACCTAAATTTTGAGTTTGTCACAGCTGACTGACCAATTTGATTTGTAACTTTAGAACTATTTATCGTACGTCCAGTTTTGCAGTATCATCAGTTTATTAAGTTATATCTAGTTATGCTGTGCCTTAAAGTTTGAACGAGAATTTTCCTCAGAAACAAATATTTTCATGCATCAGTTCATAGTGAGGTTTATTTTTGTTATAACTATAGGATGTAATGAAATTCGTGTGGGCTGAATTATTTAAAGCAATTAGTACTAAAAAGGATTATTATATGTATGTGATCAGTATTTTATTGTAGATAATTTAATATGAAGATGACCACACTATTGAAGTTAATATAATCTTGGTGTTAAAGCAGGAAATTATGAAGCGTCAACCATCATTTTTTAAGCAAGTTAAAAATATATGTACATAATCATTTCGTACAAATCTTATAAAACATAGATTAATGAAGATCCAGATTTTAAAGTATTTAATCTATAATCAGGCAGTTATCGATATTTTCACCTGCCGAAGTTTGTTTCTAAGTTTTCAGTAATGATTTGTATCTTTTTCTGAGTTGCCTGTTTATTGCACATATTTATTAAAGATTTTCTTGACGTTGATCAGTTGAATCTTCCGTTATATTCTTATTATGTTAAAGTGATTCCACGAAATCTAGAATTATCCAGTTATTCCTCCTCTTCCTGTTTTTTCTGCTACTGTTGTTTTCCCTCTTGGTCACTTTTATTGTACCGATTTAAAATAGTATATGAACCTGTATATGTTTTGTTTCAAATAGTTATATACTACTTAAAAGTATTCAGTAGAAACACACATTTAGAATTTGCATGTGCACGCGAAATGTCAATACATTGTAGATTGGTGAAGTAAAACACTCACCACTGAATTACCATATCATCTTAAGGGATTGAATAATATCTCAATGAAATTAACATGTGAATTGATATAAAAATACATGCTAGAATCATTTCTACATAAGAGAATCAAATCTGCAATAATAAATGATTGAATGTAAAGTCAATTGCAAATATGAGAATAATGCAAAAAATATTTAAGACTAAGTGAGTCAAGTATAAGGAACACATTTATTAGCACATAATGAAGTGATATACATAAAGTCTTGCAGAAGTTAAGTAATGAGAAACTACTTGTTAATCAGTTTTCATTAGAGAAGGAAACCAACTGAACAACTTGTCAATAATTTCACGTAACGATCGAAGATGAACGGCGAACGCGTTTATCACATATTAGATTTTGTTTCTCAATAAGTTCTGCAACATTGTTCATCTATATATTTGAATAAATAGGGAAAGAATTCTATTCTAAGACTCGTTGAAACGCTAATTTTAAAAAGAAGTGATCTTACATGGTGCTAGCTATATTTGAAAAGATTTCATATCTTGGACTGAAACATATCAGATTCCTCTACTTCAAACTACATTTATCTCATTAATCAGATGAATGGGTACATACCTAAGTTCTTCATTGCCAAAATATAGGTAGTAAAGCGTATTCAATGAAGTGCACTTTCAAAAGTGACCGGATAAACTACTAAATATATTTTTGGGGAAATTTTGCGATAAAACGAATAGTTTTAAGTGGTACCAGAAAAAAACTAGATCCTTAGGAACTTTTACAGACGGCTTAAGTTTTAGGATAGAATATTATTGACTAAAAAAACTAGTGTCATACACATCTGTTTCTATGTGCTTATCTAATTCTATTGATTGAGTTACGATGTAGCCACCAGTGTTATTGACTCAGTTTTTAATGCTATATGTTTACTGTCAATCGGTAGGTCTTTCTCATTTCAGCTAGTTGGTACATTAGAATACACAACCTTCCAGTAAATTAAGGTAATAGAAATTTGTATATTCATCCTTACCATAAGCTTCATAGTTATTAAGAGGACGCACGTAGTAGTCATTTTTCTTTTGTGGAAGTTATTTTTTAGCAATAGGAATATTATATAAGATGATACGTGTATGAGGTTATCTGCTTTAATCCTACCTATGATGTGGATTAGTGGGACACTTTACATAAATATTCAATGTGTATCAACTCATATACTGATCAGTTTATAATACTTTCGGGAAGATAAAAAAGTGCGTGCTTATCCTAAGTGGGTTATCTTATGGTTTAATTTCATATATTTTTCAAAACAATGTGTCGTATTTTTATTATTTTTAAGTGTCTTAATAAACATAAAGCAAGACTGAAATATTCTATGAAAGCTTCTGGCTCTAGACATGTTCACTTATCTCCTTCCTATTTAACGTTATGGACATTTTTAAAGAAGTATATTTCATACATTCTGACCACCATATATTTGCAAGGTATTTCTCATAACTTTGACATACCACTGGACTACTACAGCGATTGCGCTAGTTAATTTGTGGTAAAATTGCAAAAAAATTGAACTACCGTGCACTCTGTGTCTACAACTACGAAGAAAAATGATTTTTTTAGAAAACAAAACAAAATACTATGGTACTCCCCTCTTTTGTTACTGGTGAACATTATTCACAATAATACCGTTTCGGATATATAGTTACAACATGAAATTCTTCTTCAAATTTGAACCAGGTAGTAGTTACGAAAACTTAGTGAGTAGAAGTTTGTTACTCTACTAGGTGACGGGGAGATTCCTTCTAATAAAATGTCTTACTACTGCTAATGAATTACAAGTAGTATATAAACTGATCCGTTAAAAACAGTTTACCTGAAGTAAAAGCTGATGCAGTAACATGGTATTCATATTTTCATCCTCAGAAACATGTTCCATTGATCGACATCGAGACTTAAGTTGTTTTGCATGTATAGAAGATGATCTGGAAACCTAAAGAGGATTTATTATTATAATTAATGTGATTGGAACTAATAACATTCACGCAACTCGTGAAATTAATTATTAAAATCTTCATTATTTTATGGATCATATTTATTAGCAAGTATTTACTTTATGTATTATTTTTTTCGGATTGACAGGTTGTAATTTTCATTTCTTTAGGGTGTTATTGCCGTCCTCAAAGTCTGTTATATTCAAAATTTAACATTTTGTTTACAATAGTATATCGACACACATACACAAAATTATTGGAAAGTTGTTCGCCGTTAATTTTCTACTTGTCTGTAACATATTTTCGTTTTACATTGATATCCAAACAACTGGTGAGAATTTCTGAGCAGAAAACTGATGGGCAGTAAAAATGTACAAAATTTATCACATAAGCAGTCAACTCTGAAAGTGAAACTGCTAATTGAAGCAGCGTACATTATAACAAAAGTTTATATAAATTGAAAGTAGATCTATTCAGTGTATCTCTCTTTACATCTTGATTAAATCTATATACATCTAGTCTTTGAATATTTGACAACTTACACAAAGTATGTTTAAAGTGTTTTGTTGTATTCTCCTGTTTACTCTACTAGAATCAATAATAATATAACCAATTTTGCAATTCGAGCAATATATAAAACAAATTTTATTCATCCTTTGTACTTTTTAAGGGACAAATTTTATCTATAGGAAAATAATAATGTGGAAAAGCCAGTTATCCAGTATTACTTAGCTATATCAATTGGTTTATAATTTACGCTATGATGATTCATTTCTCTGACTGGATTTTCCTTGAAATTTTTTCTGAGCATATTAATAGTTATTTTCATTGAAAAATGAACTTACTTTACGTGGATAAACTGTTTGATTTTGTACAATCGGTTCATCATTTATTCCCGTTATATGATTATCTGAAGTAATAAGTTTATCACTTATAGTTAGATCGTCTGATTGTAGTAGCATAGAATTGCATGTAGACTTGACGCTTTTCAAACTTATTTTTCGTTTTGTAGCCAAACTAATTTTTTCTTTATTTGAAACATCACGTAATTTGTTAATTCCATCTATTGAAGCATTTTTATCATATTGACATCGATTTGATTCATTGTATAGTGTAAGACATTCCGACATACAATTACCAGTAGACATTTTTATATATGTTGGAGATTTCGATTTAGGGTGTATAGATTCCATGACATTATAATTATTTTTATCTTGATCAAATATTAATTGATCATCAGACGATGATAAACTTTTCAATGAAATTGAAGTTGATTTTAAAATTTTATGAAACCATAATAATAAATTATGAAACGATTCTGTAGAGGATAATGTTTGTGAAACTGTTAAATTATTTTCTCTAGAATTGAATTTTCTAAATGAATTCCTTGCTGTTGATGAACACTGAGAAGATAATGCATAATTTGGAGCTTGAATTATAGCGAAGAAATAAAACAAAATAAAAATAAAGGAAATGACAACAAATTGTTTTTTACAAATAAATGATCAAAGTTATGACAATGTTGTATTTATCATGGAAAGAAGAATAAGGTTTGGATCTTGAGTGTAGTTTATTTTTGGTGTGCATATCTTTTAAGCCACGTAAGTACGAAAGATTAACATTTTCATTCTTTTCTAAAGAGAAAAGGAGTATGCTAATTTGCATACCTCAACTTTACAACTTACCGCATATGAAATCAACTGCTTTTATCAGTAGCAGCATGTTTGTGAATAGAAATTAAAAAAAACAAGTGATTACATGAATTTCTTTTTCATTTTGAAAATTCTAATTCTACCGATCAACTCAAATCTATGTTTTACACTCTACCAGTATTTTGCATGTTGGCTTTATAAGTTCTATTAATCATGGTATGATAAATTTAACATATCGAGTAATAGACAAAATGTTACGTCATATTTATATACTTTTGACAGACCAAAATGTTTGGATTTCACCGTACCATTTGGGCTGAGGGTTGCATAAAATTCGTGGTAAATTAAACCTGTTTCTTGCTAGCTATTTGGTGATTGTGTCACTTGTTACCCGAAATTTTCTATGTATTCATTTTTAGAAAAGAATTTGAGATGGACACCGACTAGTGTATACATCTTTTCGATATATACTGTTTTTGTCTGTAAGAAATTCTGATGCCGTGTCAGGTTTGTTAATTACTGGAGTCATAATTATTAGGTTACTTACAACTTGCATCATTATAATAACATTCAATTAAAGTAGACACACGTCTCTCTAAATGCATCGAACTTGGTGATTGTGAGTGAACGTTTTCGAACTGAACGTGTATTTCAACCTTTATTATTACTGGTACAACTAGCATAAATTTTCTGGCTAAAAGATGACGCTTTCAAATCATTCACATTCAGACCACCACTCAAAAATTTATGAACATACCGACTTGGATTTTGGAGGAATTTCGTTTTTGGGGTCCGGTTTTCTAGGCTTCAAACCAACTGAATGGGTTTTCTATATCTTTGTGTTCACTAGTTGGATCACGTATGCTAGAATGGGTACTTCAACGGTAGAAGATCTTCTAGAAATATCAGTTATATAATACACGATTTAATCGAGCCTCTCTGATTCAAAAGATGACGTTTTGATATTTTTCCGCTTGGTTCAACTCTTTCTCGTTGGAGTACTTCCCAGTAGGTTTTCATGCCGGTTCATATCTTTACTTCAGTGAGTCTTGCACTATAACCCAGATACTCTTGGAGGATCTTTAGCGAATTTCAATTTAAACAAGTGCCCAGTAACCCCCGTCATACTTCACTAAAATATTGTTCAAATCTGACCACACATACCTATTGGCGGTGTTGGATTCTTTGAGTTGAATAGCTTCATTGAGAAGCTTCTATTGTTTTTTATAGACAGCGTCACCAGTGTTTATTTGAAGTTTAACGCAACAAGCTGCGAAATAATATTTTAACCTTATGGTGTGGTAAAACGCTAATCTTACGAGTATTTTAATGAACCCTAAATAGTTCTACCTTTCAAACAAAACTGCATGTTTTTAAAAACTACAGTAAAATATATTGTCTCATAAAAGCATTAGCTTAGTCATTTTACCTAGTTTCATTTTCTGATTTATTATATTTAAACCAGACAATTTTATGTAAATAGGATGATCATAATGGAATGCGAAATAGTTGGTAAATATGTGAAGATAAGTACTTCAGTAACATATAATGTTGTGTGTGGCAGTCACGATTATTAAATAAAATTGTCGACTTTGTAATATAGAATTATGTAATATTGATTTTTATTAATGAACGGGCCATACTGAATAGATATTGGCTATCAAAATGAAATATAGTCCTTTTTCCATTTTATTATACAAAAACACTACTGTGGAACGGAAGTTCGTTTTAGCAAAACATAGTTTTGGCCTACGCATATATTGTGGTTTTAAAGATTTTTGAACGATAATTCCATTAAACATTGTAGTATATAAGTATCTACTAACAGGGAATTATTCATCATAAGAAAGTAGCACAAATGATCATATATATATTTGGACAACACAACTAATTTCATCCCAGAAAATTAGGATTTCAACAACTAAGAAATACGACCACATACACAACACATTAATTGCACAATCGCGACAAATGAAAGTAGAAAAAACGTGAATTTTTAATGCCAACTATCTAAAAATAATTGTTATATGTGAGAACCAGTTTTCAAAAGCAATATGTGGATTAGTCCACATAAAGAGCTTCATTTAATTTTTCCAAGGAAGATTATAATTAATGACAGAGACTACTCAAAACTGTTAGTTGGATGTTACATAATTAAAAATGGAAAGTTACTAGAATAAATTTCTAGGTTGTAATTCAAATAAATCATATTGTATTTCGGATATCCAGAACCGATTTAAACATAAATCCTGTTTAAAAAATGGAAACAACTTGTGTAATTTATTTCAAAAAATATTTGTGCTAGTTTTGTATAAAGTATAATTGTTAGATGTCTTTTCGTTCAAGGATATGTTTTCCGTCCAAAAATGATGGCTTCTAATCATTGAAGTGGTAATATATATTGACAGATGGATCTTTAATAGCTTATCTAAATTTTTAAGTTTTATGTAAAGGAAAAGTACAATACATTTTATAGTTGTAGGTATCAAGAAATGTATCCAGCAGTCCTGTAATCCTTCATGTGTGACTCAATTATTTTATAAATCAGTAACGTGCATTCTTACTAATGCCCCACTTTTGCATCTACAATCATCACAAGCACGCTATAAAATATGACAAACATACCACATAGATTTTAGCTAACAACTCAGTTTCAATATCTGTTGCACAAAGTTTCCATATTCTATAACCAAAAGTTCAAGAGAAAGGGTGGTTTTATTTTTCTTACGGCAATATTTACTTTCTCGTCATTATAAGAAACTTTAAAACATCTCGTTGAAACTACACGATCTTTATAAGACTGAATGATCTTTAATTATTGTGAGGCAATACAACTGATGTATTTTAACTTTAAATTACTTTCTATGCAGGTATACAATATCCTTGTACAATGCAAAATTCATTCTAAGTTTCAATGGGACATACAAAGTAACTCTTCTATTATTAAATTTCTCATAATTACAAATCAGCCGTTTGGCATCATTCTACGTTACAGACTGAGATTTAATACACTTATGACTTCTACGATAAAGAACTAAAGAGTTAACGGGATAATAGTTGTTGTTTAAAGTGAATATAAAGAGTTTATTTCCGTAAGTGCACTGCCATCACTAAACTACGAAATTTCCAAGGCTTCAGCCAATAAATCTACAGATTTCAAACCAACAATTAGCAGTTTTACCTAACGTTGTCACATCTATTATACCATAACAGTGCCAATCCATTTCAAACCATATAGTTTCACAAACTCACTGACTTACTTAAGTAGTCCCTTAATTAATCCCTTCTAACCAATGTTAATAAATGCCACTTACAGTTCAATAATTCTTCAGATGTGTATGGGAGAATTCCGGTAAGTTGAACAGTCATGTGTTTGTTTTTTTCGTATTGTTCTTTTAATGCATGTCGATGGGCATCCTCAGATAGTTCAAGTTGTTTGATTTTTTTTGTCATTTCAGACAGCTGATAAATATAATGAAAACAATTTTTAAAAAAGACTTTGAACAATGTACATGCATGATTTCTGATTGTTTTTAATATTCTTCTCAGTTATAAAGGAATACAACTGTATTTAATTCAAATTAAGAACGTTTCTTCAAGCAGTAACCTAACATTACATACTCAAAAGAATACTTGCATTAAAAATAATTTTTTTCTATTATAAAACAAATTTACAGTGAGATGAGCGAATTAAAATTATTACGTATTTAGTCATATGTATGTAGATTTAATTTGCTATTCATCGACAATATATGAGTAGATCTAGTGCCTTATGGATTACATCAGTTCGTGATTGAAACTAACATCAGAATACAGAAAGCTTTGCACAAAATCGCCTAATCTAAACCGAATTTAGATATTTCATCACGTTTTTTTCTGTATCTCCATTTCTTTCAAATAAATAGAAATTATTACAAACAAACAGCCTTTGAATTATAACTAAAATATGTTAATTTTTATACAAAACATTCTCTGTTAATTAATAGAAGCGCTTTAAATGACTTGATCTTATCATAAGTATTATCTCTTACTTCATAGTCTTACATGTTATTCCTATATTTTTAGCAGGATGTTTCTGTGATGATAAAACTAATAATAAAAATCATATAATGATTAATTTGTGTTAAGTTTTATTATCTAAGAAATTTGATACTATCATATATATTTTGAAAAATACCTTATAAATGTGTTGTTTATAATTTTATTCGGTCATATGAATTAAATTTAAACTGAATCATTACGTGACGAAGATATCACTATCACTTGGAGAATAATATAACAGATTATGCCTGTATAATTTTAAATGAAAGTTCTCGGTGCTGGTCAGTTAAAACCGTTCGAACGTTTAAAAAGAAACTAGGCAGGTATGATAATTCTGTTACTATTGAAACATGTAAGAAAAGTACCGCTAACATTTTTCAGTAATGTATTTTGTTCCTTTAAATCACATTGATAACAAGTGTAATATTCCAACAAAAAGATGGCATTGTGAATATCTATTTTGTTCAATGCTTCCTAAAGCCAGTCCGTAATGAATAAATATGAAATTCCACATCTCACAATCCCTAAGTTTTAAATATCGTCTAATCGATTAATTTTATTATTTATGGCTCTCAAAACACAGCTCTTTCTCTCTCTCTCTCTGGATATTTATATAATTATACCGAATATATATATATATATATATATATATATATATATATATATATATATATATATATATATATATATATATATATATATATACCGGAAATCATTACATTTGACTATCCAAATGTTTGGAAATCAAGTTTACATTTAAATCAAATTTTTCTTCCCTATAAATCTACCTTTTAGAAAATAATTCACAGATAATTTCAATCCTTGAATTATCAACCACTTGAAAATTCACAATAAACTTATTAGAATTGAGATATTTTTGGTCTCATTGTTAGACTTTTTAACAGTTTGGACATTCCAAACAATAACTCAAGTTCTAAAGTGAATACGTTTTGTTAAAGCTACTATAGATTTCTTCAAAATTTAATGTTTTATTTAGACTTTGCTGCTGTGTTTTTGTAGGGATTGAATCTTAATTTTGATACCAGTAACAAAACAGATGTGATTTAGCGTTCAAGGTACTCAAATTTTAGCTACTAAGTCCCAGGTTCAAACCCTGTCCCACCTATTTCAACTGGGGCAACCAGATATTAATATTATTATCCGTCACACTTTGAGTTTGGTTCATACTCAAATAATTAGTGATTGAGCAAGAAAGAAAAGTAAAATTCGTTTTAGCAAATCAAAAACAGGCTATAATTACAAAGGACAATCGTTGGAAGAATTGTACAGAGTTTGAAGGAGAAAACAACGAATGAACTTTTATAGAATACCAGCTGCTTAGTGTTACATAATCCCTACTTATTTTCCATTGATCAACTAACCATAAAATGTAATATTTCTACATATTCATGTATTATAAACTACAGCATTAAGAGATGGTTTATTTCAGTATCAACTGGCTGGATATACGTTGTTGTGATTTTCCAGTTATTCTACGATTATTAAAATTTATGGTGGGATGATTTGAATAAATTCTGTAAGTTAAATATAAAGTTCTATTAATATTTTGTATTTATCCTCAGAAAGAAAAATTCACATCTAATTGTATATATTTTAGCTATCATGAAAACTAAATGATCAAGTCTTTTTTTATTAATTGCTGGATAAGATTTAGGGATAGGTATTGTCATAAATTATATTCATTTCAAATTACAGAAATTGTGACTCTTTGTTATTTTAATTTATGATTCATTGTATTTTGAATTCTAAATTATAACGAGAGCTTCGTTTAGTACACTTTAATTCTGTACATGGTCTACTTGGTAAATATACAAACAATGACATGATATGAATGTTTTCTAATGAAACTAGGTAACAATTATTTAAAAATTCACAAAATTATTGAAGGGGATTTATAGAGGTAATGATTCAGTGGCGGTTGTACTCCAGTTTCTTACGCGCGATTTTGTCAGTAGATTAGGTCACTTTCTCTAATCACCAAAAGTAACCGATGTAAGATTTTATCTTGTCCCCAAAATGCAGAATCGATATATAAGGGTGAAATAAGTACAATTTTGAAACAATAAAACGTGGAACGGTGAGCCAGGTAAAGGACCTGATTATTGAGGACGTCTAAGTGACGTTTGGGCCATCGAAATAAGAAACGGGACAAGTTAATTACCACAAATAGGGATAAGATTGATTTGCCATATTTTTTGTGAAATAAATTTTTTTATGGCCAGAATTCGAGTATATATTGAGCGGAATATATATATATATATATATATATATATATATGATTTCTCATGAACAAAGTAAAAAAGAGTTGTATTGGCTTCTTCAAGAAGTGAATCTCGTTTTCATTTTTTTTAAATATTCAATAGATTTAATTTATAGTGAACACGTTTGTCATTTACACATTAGTTTAATCATACCTGGCATTTGTACTGTAACAGTTGTCGTTGAACGTTAACAGTAGTTCGAGCGCATTCACAAACGTCATCTGAATCATTTACACACAAACATTTCAAAGGGATAGAGATTTCATGAATACCGGGACTTTGATGAATGAATGAATTAAAATCGCACTGACTATCTTTCTCAATGTAAAAAGATTTATGAGACCGTTCTTGTTGTTGTTGAATGTTTAAAATCTTATCTAATTTAGGTGGACGTAAACGACTGAAAAATAATTGAAATCCATTCTGGGAAATAGAAGCATCATTTAAATTTGTTTTCATTTCAGGCAATGAAGTTCTTTTATCATGATATTGTGATTTAATTTGATTTTCTAGCACATAAAGAATACCTTCTGATGTAAGTGGAACGTCTTGATCAGCTAACTTCTCCAATGAATTTTTATTCAGATAAAACTTGGTACTTTTATCTGAATTGGTTATTTCAGGTGATTTTTTTACTTGTTCTTCATATGTAGGTGAACAAACTAACATTGTGTTTTTCTGTAAAAGATCTACCGTAACATAAGAACAAAATATTAATATTAAGTAACATGTAAAAAATATGGCTGAAATTTCATCTACTTTTGTAAGCTCATACCTCATTGACGTTTTATAACACTGAAAATCTAAGATTAAGTCGAACAGGTCATTATCAATTTCATGAGGCACACAAATTGTGAGTATTACTATGACTATTTTAGAATAAACGATAGATATAATTTATTTACTTGTCGAAAGACCTAGATACTGTCAGAAGCCCTTACAAATATTTCTCAATAGATGAAATAAGATATTTGTGTAAACCACACTGAGATTGACTCATTTAGGATTCCATGAATTCTTATTGAATCTTGTTGAAGATCACTTATAGATTTACTCTCAGTCTTGGCGTAGAGTATAAAATCCATTAAGAACTTTTCTTATTTCAATAAGGGGGTTCAATTTTAAGTAGCAGTCAACAAATTCTAGTGAATATTTTGAAATATATATATATATATATATATATATATATATATATATATATATATATATATATATATATATATATATATATATATATAGCTACATGAACTGAATTAATTTATCTCGTGCCTAAACTATAACCATAATGAATACCGAGTAAAATACTCACAGTTTCAGCTGTGCATCTACATTTATTTACCAGATGAAATATCTATTATCTTTTGATATTACAGAAGAAGCTTTTCTAGTTGAGTGACTTTAAGTTTGCCAACTAGACCTTAGAAGTTTCTAAAATATTGGTGTGATCTATCGAGAATGATTTCCAATATTTATGCAAAAGTATACTTCGATTTTAAGTTTTTCGAATAATGCATAAGTTTGTTCATGGACTATTCAGTTTAGTGAACGCATAAAGATTGTTCCAGCTATAGAAAATGTGATAGTCATAAAACTAGTAAGCCTCACATGATATTCAACATTTAAAAGAACAAGTGTTTCGACATTAAGTAAAAGGAAGTGTGAAAGCTGTAACCACTGAAAAGGTATGGATAAGGATGCAACATATTTTTATAATATTATTTATCCATGCTATGTTCCATTATTAATTTCCGCTTAATGTTAGTTTAACTTGTTAAGATTACGAGAAACACACTTTGAAACAGTGATTGATAGATGTACATCTTCATTTGTAATCGTTTTTGTGACAAGTGAAGATATGCTTTGTGGATAAACTAATCAGACTTCAGAGGGATACTCTCTGATGTTTACACGAAATTCAAGACGGACTAAGAAATTTGGATGGGCTTGAGCAATTCATTAAATGACGTTTGGAAATCGATTAGTTTTTAATGAAAAAAATATATATAATAGAGAATAAATGCAATCAAAACGTACACAAAATTTAAACGCGATTTATGAATTCTTCAAGGAAACCACAACCCTAATGCGTTCTCGAGTTTTCAGTATTAAGTTGATCATTTAGTTTATTTGTATTGTGATTGGCTATCAAATGTCAGGGATATCGTAGTCAGTTTACAGTCACCAATATCAATAGTTATATATTGGCCTCTTTAGACTTATGTTACATAAGTAAAAGGCAAAAATAAAAACTGAAAATCCCCATAGGCATAAATTTTAAAAAGCTAAATGAACTTATAAGAGATTGATGTTACCGAAATTATGTAATCAATTCAACTATAGTAATAAATTCATAAGCTAACTGTGAACATTACCAGTGAAGATAAAATAGTGATTTCAATGTGTTGTACACAGTAATAGTAATAACAAAAAGAATTAAGTACTTAGAAACAACATCGTATGACAGCAATGTTATTGTTGCTTTATTTCTCACAACAAAAATGTGGTCGGATGTGATTTTATTATAAGAATGATTATTCCTTATCAAAATAAAATAGGAAAAAATAGTTACAGAATACAAATGAAATTATACTTCTTCTATAATGTAACTCAGTGATCATGTATTCATCTCATATGCTCGGCTTTTGAACAGTACCTTTTACGTTTAGAAGGTTAAATGGAAATTTAAATTAGCCATATTGATTCTCAAACAGATACCTTTAAAATTAGTTTCACATCAACACTAGCGGAATAAAGAAATCTTTTGGATTATTCATTTAACATAAATTGAATAAACACTTCTTTTTAAAAAAAATTGATTTTTTTCAGCAATGAATAGATTTTATCGATCAGGTTTACATATATATATATATATATATATATATATATATATATATATATATATATATATATATATATATATAGGTCTAGCAAAACCAATTTTTAACCATTTTAATTAATTACTAAAACTATGTATAATTGTAACATAAATCAGTGTCTGAATAATATATCCACTTACACAAAATTATTGATGAAATCAAATCATTTCACTAATGAAGGTTACAATTTTGTTTAGTTAATAGCTAGTTCACTATTAATATGATGATAAGTGTTCGACTATAATTAAATCTTTTAAAACAAGAATTCTGTCAATTAGGACAAAAAGATAAACAAGTAACCTTGAAGTACATACATAAAATTAAACTGTTCAGTTACATACGCATATTTTCTTCTAATAATTGTCCAGTTTTAAGTTGTAAATTTTCCAATTGTTTTCTTAAATTTTCATTTTCATTATTCAATCTATCATTCAAATATTGAATAAAAAGAAACTTGTTTTAATTATATGATAATCATTAAATAAGTAAAATAATGAGAACTATTAACTGGACCAAATCCAGACTTAAAGTTAAGAAACTCAATAAAAGTATAGTGATAGTAGGCTATTGATGAAAATATAAAGAAATGGATAGCATCTGAAGACTAAATGGAGAGCGCTTGAGTAAGAATGAGAATTTTTGTAGAATACTATGAATTTATTGTATTTCGTTGCTTTTTTTTCTCAGATTTATACAACCTATAATTTTCGTTAGTAAAAATATTAAATTACCTGAAATTTTTTATCGATGAATTATCGTTAAAGATCAGTAAAATTGTTTGGTGCTTAGAAGTTCCTTTTAATTTTGTTTCTAAATCATTAATTTAAAGCTCTCATTATGATTTTAATTTCTCTAAGATTTTGCTGACCTCTGATAATGATGCATTCCTCAAAAATTTCAAATATGTTTATGTTTTGGATTAACGAAAATTAATAGTTTGTATGTAATTACAGAGAAGGCAACGAAATCTAGTGAATTTATTGTATTCTACAACCATCGAAGTTTGTGCTTTGTTTAAGTTCTTCAGAGCAACCAACCCCATGAAAGCTCTTCCAGTTATTCCACTGGCTTCTAATTAAACAGCCTGACAATTCATCACTGTCTAGTAATTGTTTATGATATTTTGACACCGCCGTTCACCGTCATTTTGTAAGCATTTTTTATTCCGAATTCAGATTTCCTTTACTCATCATCATACTTAGGCCTCCTTGGATATATTTCTAAGGATTCATCATTTTAATAGAACAGAACAGTCGGAAAGAAAATGAGTAATCGAAAACGCTCCAACTTATAAATCAATGAACCACGTAAGTATGCTCTTATTTTTGATTGATAAAGGATATGACAAAAATGTTCATGATGAAGACTACTTTACCAAAATAAAAATAACGGTCATTTGATATCTTAAGGGGTTTTTGTGGATATTATCGTAACTTCAATAGTTGAGATCATGAGTCAATTGAAGCTAAACCACTATGGGAAACCTGGAATCACTGGATGACCGTTTCGTCCTATTGTGGGACTCCTCAGCAGCGCGCATCCACGATCACATCTCGTGAGATTCGAACCCAGGACCTATCTGTCTCAGAGTTCAACCGGGTCTGTTGTGAGATAGTAACTCACTGAAGGCAATGGTGGATGTGTCGCTCAATTTCGTGAATTAGTTGAAGTGAGACATTAGCATCATTGGCTGCCGGCATAGTGATCTAGAGTTCAAGCGTCCTCATGCGAAACCGATAGGCCGTTGATTCGAATCTCGCGGGGCGGGATCGTGGGTGCGCTCTGCTGAGTCCCACAATAGGACGAAACGGATGTCCAGTGCTTTCAAATTTTCCATGGTGATCTAGCTTCAATGGACTCATCATCTCGACATTTGATATCCATTAGTTCAAAATATACTAACTATTTCATTGAAGAACGATTATCCAAGTGTTATATATTATTTTAAAGTTCAATATTGTTAATTAGAAAATTTGCGACACTTTAAAATCCTCTTTACAATTAAAGTAAAACTATTTCTTTTTGTTATATACGTAACTGAAATATGATACTTAACATTGATTATTTGATAAAATAAATCAATAAAATCAGTGTAATAGTTACACTTATTTATTTTCTCTTAAATATTCTTTTAAAAAGAAATTCCTGAAATTTTTTAAGCAACTAAACTTAAAAATAATCTTCATTACAAATTGGTTGATTTTAGATTGAGGGAAAACCGGTGAAGACTCAAGAGATATCATTACAAATAATATGTAATAATATTTAACCATTTCTGTAAACAAAAACCTCACTTTTTTTCTAACTGAATTTTAATATATTTATTCCATTTATTCCTTAGAATTAGTTTGTTGATTTCAACACAGGCTTCTATTATTATTCTTGGACTTAAATTTGAAAAAAATCATTTCTAGATTCTGATGTAAAAAAAATCAAACTTTTGGCAATTTTGTAACTACATATTAAATACACTAAAAATTTGGATTTGAAATTCTTTACGTTTTCACACAATTTATGTTTCATCTTGTAAGCTTATTAAATTGTATCTTTATTGTTATTAGAAAATTATACTTGTGATTTAGCGAAAAAATAAAACAAAATTGTTTTTACTGACTGAAACAATAGTAAATAACAGTTATTCTTTGAAGTTTAGAAACCTTTGGAAAGGTAGCGATATAATCAAACCTATGACATTTTTGGCATCCAAAAAGTGGGTCTATCTTATCCTACTATTGAGCGGTATCTCAAATAGTCTTATTATAAAACGAAGATTTAAATTAGCTGTCAATGGGACATTTTGTGCATCGTATCTCAGCGTTATAAAAAAGTTAATGTCTATACTTTATCAAAAACCCAAACAGAATATAAGCGATTGTATCACATCCCTTTGCATCTATCAGTTTACATGTGTGTGCAGAAACACGTACATAGGGAGAAGTAATCGTGAGCTGCAATTAAGGGTAGCTGAACACATACCAAAGTATCTGCAAAAACAAATGAATTCCATTGGTTAAATAAGATCACAAGATAGACATGTATCTTCTTCCATTGCGAAACATTTGGTTGAGATCGGTTATAAGGTTGATACAAAGTTAGCCTTCGTAGTTTTATACAAGTTTTCAAGGGCGTATTATAAGCCTTGACTATATGAAGACTGAAACCCCCTTTATGTGTTCAAAAACAATTTGTTCCTGCACTTAAACTACTCTTGAAGTAATGATTTGTTATCCAGCGAGGTTTTCACATTGTTTTTGTGTACTTTATTACTAACTTGGTTCGCCTTACCTTTTCATTTGTCTAGTTGACATTTGTTTTTCATATATAATGTCTTAAGAAGTATGTATGTGATCAAATTGTTGAAAATGTATTGCGCAAGTGTACCACATAATTCTGACAACCTTCGTCTTATCAAGTCATATGAATATATATACATTAATAAGTTGTATATTTGTTGTCTGGCGTCAAATAGATAGGTACCCCCTACTAATTTAGGACTCTTCAGAAATGTTCACCTTCCTGGTCCCAAAACAGGGTTGAATCCAAAACATTTAGATCTTGATAAGGGGTAACTAACTTTTTGCCACTGAAGCGAAGACCAAACATATAATTTTAATAAATTTTCGATACACCACAAAAAAGTAAATTCATTAACAATACAAAAATCTTTTTGGTGTGATGAGGGTATTTATGAACTCATTACACAAAACGAATTTACAGTGATGTAACGAAAAAGATGCCGAAAAGTCATAAAAAAAGAGATATAAAAGTCACTAAAACATACCGTACAAATACGGGTAAAATAAATTTCGTTCAGCTAGATATATCTTAATGTTTATAAGGATTAAAATAAAAATCACAAAAGAACTGGCACTGGAGTTTATCCTCAGCCATAATCGGTAATGTCTCAGGCTACTTGTCAAGATATGATAAATCAGTGGTTGTCAACTCAATACAAATAGCTCTCGCTTATAAACAAACCATCTCTTAATTAGTGTACCCATTTTTAATAATACCTGGATAATTGAGGAGAAAACAACGAACTTCAATAATATGAATTAAACTCACTTCAGAATGCGAACATCAATTATAAATTAATGAAATATTAATAAATTCAAAATGTAAATATTTATACTTTGAGCCTTTAGCAAATGATTGAAAATATAAATGAGAATTATTACTTACTGTTGAATTTTTGCTTTAGACGACTGGTGTTGTGATAACAAAGCACCTTTACTTAATTCAAGGTCTATTTTCAGTTTGTTTATTTCCTGGAAATAAAAAATACAGATATTGTTTGATCATTAAGAAGTTTTTAGTGTGCAAATATTTATACCAAAAAAAAAATACTTTGTCCTCCTATTCATAATACGGAATAATTGTGGTTAAAAAAGAAAATATCAGCATGATAAAATTAGCAAATTATTTAGTAAGGCAACTTATTGAGGTTTCTTGAGTTTAGTGATAGTTTATAAAATGGACTAATATCAGCTGGAATACCGCTGAAAGTCGGAAAGCGGTAAGTTTGATTTGGATACTTTGAAATTGAGCATTATCAACCCCATGTAGCCTCAAAACCAGAATCTTTAAGCTTTTTTTGAGTGCAACACCACGTTAGCATATCTAAAGTACCACATTTCCGACTTGAACCAACCTGTAAGATGACTGCCATCCTAATTAAATACAATCGTAGAGTAATTGGGTCTTTTTCGACCTGGTTGATTCCATATGTACCTGCTTTTTAATAGAATCTTGGTAAAGCCAGTCATTAGTATTCTGTTAGTAATTACGATGTTAGTTAGTTGGAGGTTTGATGATTATCAGATGTTTTTTAAATAGTTGGGATATTCTAACATTGAATAGAGATTCTAGCTTAAGCATTCAGAGGATTATGCACTTTAATATTTTTTTAATTTCATAAAATTATATCTGATGAATTATTCTATCATCACAAAGTCATCCTGAAAAGCCTGCAGACATTTTACAATTTATTGTGTAACAATATCTCACAAAGCATCATTAAGATTTTAAAAACCAACAGACTTAGTGTTGCCCATTAACCAACGTATTCACTCCATTTATTTCTGGGTCAAGGATGAAATAAAAAAATTCAAAATTATTTACAAGGTCTGTTGTCCCGAATAGTAGAACTATAGTGAGGAAAACAGACATCTGTTTCAATTAAACATCCATAAATATACGCAAGCATTTGAAAGGTACTATATATGATTACTTATAACGAAATGCATAGAAACAACAACCAAGATAAATTTGGTAGGGAAAATTCTAAAATTTTGGATAGAAGGAATTCGAAATAATTCCTGAGTACTTGACATTCAAGCCAATCTCGAATGTTGTATGTGTAAACATACATCAAAAAGTGAGAATAAGGTTTATTTTTCATGTGTTTACAGGTCCGTCTAAAACAACAGTCAATGGGGATTTAAATGCATACAGAGATAACGAGTATAAGGTTAACCAATCACTTAAAAAGTATCATAACGGTCTAATTTATTACTTGCTGAATAATTTTGGTGTATTCATTTAAGTTGAGCACTGATGTTATATAAAACGACGATGAACGATTCTCAATTGGACCATTCAAGACATAAGCCACAAGAACATCGAAATAGAAGTTTAAAAGATAAAATCTCTAGTGGATATAATTTATAATTAACCTGGTGCGAAATATATTTAGTAGTCCATTATATGCGAATCACTTTGATGAAGGTTCTCTGTAGCTTGATGCTTTGACACAAATTATTTACTTATGACATAGAATATAGCTGAAAACACTTTATTCATAAATATTGTAAATAAGCGGCTCCGTGATCAACACATATTTATCGATTTTGTAAAACCACTTAAGCCGTTTTTAGTCAATACATTACGTGTTAGTCTTGGGAACAAATAATAAAATTTAACCAATGTGAACAATATTAACAAAAGGAAGAACAAAAATGAAACAAATAGGACTATCGTGAAAGAACAAAGTAATTTGTTGTTGTAGATTTACAATCAGAGCTAATATTTGAGAAATGTACTTATATAATTTAGTGAGTGTCGTCAAAAGATATATCATATATTCTGCTTAACTTAGATAATCTTACCTAAATTGTTTAAAAAGAGTGTGACCTTAGGGATTTTTTTACTTTTTCATAGCTAATCCTTGTATAAATGTTTTATTATAAGTTATATTGATCAATTTTCAAAGTACATTGTCAACATAAACAAGATTAACGAAATATTTCTCTTAAAAAAATGTTTAATCATTCTTATAAAATAAATCTAACCTACTACTGAATAACATAGAGACTTTGGTCGATTTTTCAAATAATCAGATGTTTGTTATGGAGGCCTGTATGAAGTTGTACTACACAAAACCCCTAATTAACTGCACACACTTGAAATAAATAAATCAGTTATATGAATTTATTTCAATCCCTGGTGATAATGGCGCATATATATATATATATATATATATATATATATATATATATATATATATATATAGACTTCAAGATGGATTCCAGATGAATATGATGACTGGTAGAGTTTAAACATGTTAGGTATAGGAGAATATATACTAAATTTCTTCAATGATTGCCCTGTTAGAGGGTTAAGCGCTTTAATTTGCAAATGTAAATCACTGTGTTCCGACTTCATGCTTTAAAGGCATCATAGTTTTTCAGACTTGAAGATATTATTTTCAAGCTTCTGTGGATTCTTTTCTCTACCCTTCTAATCGGTCTTAAAATGAGGCTAAAGAACAGTCTATTCGTCCTTTATTTTCGGCTATTTTTCAGCCGATAACGAACACTATCTTTAAAAATATGTGTGTTAAGAATTCAAATTAAATGTCTCTACTCAAATTCATTGATTCTAATTTTTTATATTTACAAATGCTTTATTTTATTATTAAAATCACTTTTTGCCTAACTAGTTCAAGCATAACATTTAGTATCTGAAGCATTTATTCCTTATCAGTTAAGCGACATATTTAGTTGCGCTTTAAAAAGTATGCAATATATGTTTCTTCGTGAACAGTGTTTGATTGGAATGATATATAATGAAGTGTATTTCTTCAACAGTATCACACTGTATACAAGCAATCATTATGGATAATAAGTTTATCATGCTTGCAAAATAAATTTAAAATAATTATGTTAATACTAATTTTACCTTTTCCAATTCAACAGTTGAAGCGTAAACATTACTTCGCGTTTGACCCTTTCCATCAGATGACTGAAATTTCTAAAATGATAATAAAATAAATTTTATTTTTCTGAAAAACGAGAATTACTTAAAAGTAAATATTAACTTTATGAAACATAGATTTAAAATACATATTATTAATATGTGAGAGTTACTAATACAATGTGATTGCTTAAACTGAAATATATGTATGAGGAGATAGCTATGAAACTGTAGACTATTAGTCGAAGGTTCTGCCTTTTCTAACCATTAAGCCACCACACTTATAAAAGAAAATTATATTTTATTTAAAGTTAATTATTATTCAAGTTGTCTTATTTGTTTACTTTAATTAAAATTTCCGTAGTAAAACAAGAGTATTCCTGATCAATTATTATTATGACTATTCTCATTATAATTGCTATTATTAGTCATATTAATAATATGGTCATATATTTAATGGTTTCAATGTCACCTAAATCTCTCCTACACTATTATTTACAGAGCTCATCTACAAAACTTTATTCATGATATTTTAATCATTGTAGTAAGTATATATTAATTAGCCAAAGCAATATTTCGTTATTTTAATTAGCGAAATAATAAATACAAAAAAGTAATAATGATCCTAATTAAAGATTTTCATCATTACTAGTACATAAATACTATATTATTTAAGTACTGAATGGATATATATAATGTCATAAATGATGACTGAACAATCAGTCATCAGCAACCCTAAACCTGGCACATATGTGTGTTGGTTCATTTCGTCGTCCCATAGACCATAATGAAATGAAGTTATCAAGAGTGAAATAGTAATAGAAGGAGTAATGATATCAGAGGTAGTAAAAACATTGGGTTTCGACAAAGTGATTCGCTGACTAGTGGACTAATCCGAGCCATCTGCGACCGATTCTGAGCCATATCATACGTCTTCAACTATCGCTCACGATAATCACACGAACTCCAACCCGATACTTTACATCTATCTAAATGGTTCAATGAGACAGCCAATGACTTCAAGAAATAATACCATGTCAAACACCATGCGTAAGCGATACATTTAATTTATTTTGACGGATACTCAATAGTTTTTTAAAAACAAAACTTGAAATTATTTTGCTTTAGAACAAATAAACTAGTTTTTTATGATAATAAACTTTATTGTAAATATTAAGAGTTCTATGACCAAACATAACATAATATCTTATCCAGTGAACCATATGACATTCTAATTACTGACTATTTTAATAGTTCTAGAGCTTACATCTGAATAGAACACCCGAAAGTTTTTTCTCCAGTTGTTTAATATTGCCTTTGTTCTACTTTTTATTTTCGAAATCAGCTATTATCCCAAAATCAAATCATTTATTAAACCACGCATAAAACTGAAGGACTAGGAGGTGAAAGTATTTTTATCCTAGAGCTTTTCCGCAATATTCACGTGTATAGCTCTACAGATTAAATTAATGATGTTATACTTGGAACAACATATATAATATTATGATTACATACTGAAAAATACATTCTCTCTACAAGAGAATATAAATATTTACATACATACAAGTACATGTAAAACTTTAATTGACACCAAGTATTCTAAATTTTAAGCTAAAAACCTTAGTAATTAATAAATGACTGTATCATTTTAATGTGAACAATAGTACCACAGTATAGTTTGTTATTAATAATACATTCACGTTTATAAATGATGAAAGCATACGTAGTTTCACGTGTACATTAGATATAACACACACTTTTTTGTTTAAATTAATGTATAAAAGGAAACTGATAATAAATAGCTAAAAATTTATTAGTCACTAAATTTATAGGTATATTGATAGTAATTCCATCATAATTACTCAACTCTCTGCATATTTTTTTTTATAAAATGTAAATGAAATTTCTCTTCAATATTCAATAAATTTAACATGTGAGAAAAAATCTCAACTACTTAAAATTTCAGTGTGTACGGCAATAATAATAAAATGATGAATAACTTATTTGTTTTTTCATTGTAGCTTATATTAACTATGATTACTATTATCACTGATATCACTACTACCGCTACTACTATTACTGTCCTCCTTTTAATATTTTAATCTCTCTGAGCTGATTTGGTGTTGTTACTTGAATCGATGCTTCTGACTGGTTCTTTGTTGTCTTTTCATGAGACGTTTCTTTTTCTTTTATATGTGTATTAAAGTAAACAAAAGAATGATTACAGCAAGTACCATTGAATATACTGAGGTGTTTATATGTAAATTTCTCCGGAAACAAATTTCATTTGTAGAATGATTAGAAATCAAAGAGTATTGTTCTGTTTGCGAGATATGAAAGTCCGGTAGTCACAACCTCCTGGTCTCGCGCAATATGCACCTATGACTTCATTTAAGACTGAACCTTCAGGCTTCATGGAGAGCATACTGTTATATTTGAATACTCCTTGGTTTTCAATGGATTCCAGACGACATTAATTCACGATCACAAAAATATTAAGTAAGTCGTCTGTTAGCTGTAAAGCTTTCATAAAATAAGAAACTTTGATCGTTTATTCGCAAAGTATGTTAAAAACTCTTGATAAAAACAAATCTTAATAGTTGAATTCATATAAGCTAGATCACCGCCGAATGTTCGCAAACACTGGGCGACCTTTCGTCCCAGTATGGGACTCCTCAGCACTGCAGAGAAGCTATGACCAGAGGAGTCCAATCCGAATCAGGTAGAGACAGGTGTCTACCTCAGACAACGGATGGATGGTTACACAAGATCGTGGATCGATTAAAACTAGACATTAACACCGTTGGAAGCCGGCTCAGTGGTCTGGAGGTTAGGCGTTCTCGCGCAAGACCGGTCTTTGACCCGAGCCCCGCATGCGGGATTGTGGATGCGCACTGCCGAGATGTCCTTTAGTGGGAAAAAACGGCGGTTCAATGCTTCCAGGTTTTCAATGGTGGTCTAGCTTACATCGATTCATGAATTTAACTACTAAAGTTAAATTAAAACCCGTTCTGATCAAGAATAAATTTATCAATCTTCTATATGTCAGATACCAGTTAAAATAATAGTTGGATTTATTATCCTTAAATTAAAAAATTAATCGTTTTCTTAGTTTGAAGTTTTGATTCAGTTATTCGTTCAAATCTTTAGAAATCTGAATCCATATAGCCGATTACTTTTTATACTGCAAGTTAGTTTCTATTCATTCACAAGTGTTGTATATTGCTAGGAATGCCTGGACATTTTAGCTGTCTTGTAAATAGTTTTTTCTTCAAAGACGCCTCTTTTAAAAGTTGTACAAGTGTAACTAAATGTACCGTAAATTTATGGGTTAATTATTATTAATGAAGTAAAAGTATATGATCAAAGCAAAAATGGTCATTGATAAGAATGGTAAATCTATTTTCGGGTATGAAAAGAGATTGTGCACTAATCAACAAAGCAATGTAAAGCTAGATGTAGATTGAATAGACTCAAAGAACTTCAAAAAAGTGAATCGTATAAAATAAATCGGCGACAGGAAATAAAAATAGTGGTAACATGTATACAAAGGATATCAGATACATTAATATAACTAATAACGAGAAACGAAGAACTTTTGATTATGCCTACATAGAAATAAGAGGATAGATGGATTGCATTTTCTGATGTTAGGAAGATATTACTTGTATTTTTCTGTTTTGTAGTATATTTCCTTTTCAGTAAGTGAGTTTCTAACAAACTGTTTTGTATAACTGGTAAGTTAGCACTTCGTCTTAACTACTGGGTTTAACTGTAGCGATTTTCTTAAAGGTAAATCTTGATGAAACAATATTACTTAAATAAATCAGATATTGAAAAATAAAACTATTAATTAACTTGAATCGTTTATTAGGCAGGATACTATTGAGATATGCATTTGAGGAGAGTGCATTTTGGTGTTTACGGAGTAGTAGTGCCAGGCCAACCGGAAGGACACTCATAGATTCATTTCCAAGGCAATGATCATTTCTTCACACATTCATGAGTCAGTTGCTGTTAATAGAAGATAACCCGGTTTCTAAATGCTCATTCCCTATTATTCTCTTCTAATGCACTGTTTAGGAAGGACTTCCTTTTTACTCTTATTCTCCCTCTCTGATATTCATATTCTACATTATTATATTTGTATGAGTTACAAGAAGAGTATAGCTACATATTGAGTTTTATCGTCAAATATAACCGATTTCTTTATTGCACAGTTTAGTAAAGTTCTTTAAATAAGCAGGCATATTGAATACAGTTGAAATGCCAGATAAATCTAATTTGGTTATTATACTTCTGGACCGGTACTTAGAAGTGTTTGTGTCTACAACAACTGCTTCTACCAAGCATACACAAGATTAGTGCTTTATGAAGGTGGGTTGGAGAATGCTGGTCAGCGGACTATGCTCCATTGGGAGTAACAAGCGTACGTAAGTAAAGTAAGAGGGTATGAAATAGCAATTGAACAATATTAAAACAAATAGCAAGTTCATAAGCTGACTGATACCTAGGATTCAGTTCATATTTAAAGGAAATCGGGTGAAGAAACCTTGAAACTCTCAGTAATTAAATATTTAATACACTTAAACTTAATCTCAACCATAAAGCATTATATCTAATAGGTTTACTGATTATACGTTTTAGGTTAGTTAACTAGAGTGAATCAATACAACCTAAATGATTGAACAATTAACACTAGTTTATTTAACAAACAATCTTTATCATATCGAATTACATTAATAAATTGGTCATAAATATTTCATAATTCATTTCAGGTTTGGTTTAACTGAATCACATATTTGACTCAGGTGGGAGAGATAAATAAACATATTTAACCAAAACTTATTGGTGCATTCCAACATCAGATTTCTTGAAAGTAACTAATGCGTACTTCAATTTTTGCTAGAAGGAGGAAAATTGGAATAGTACACACTGAGAAGGTCAGGTCAAGGGATTTAATTGGATTAGTAATAATTGGAATCTAGACCTTGGGTGAAGTTTTTTATGAAGACACTCTGAATAACAATGACTCATCGTTACTCTCATCACTCAATGAAGTACAAAACGTTTACGGCAAAATATCGTTTGATATGTGTGTATAAAAAATAGGATTGTAGGCAGTTTTTATTACAATACAGATCTAGGATCTCTCCTTTAACCTCAGTTTACTTTACCTCTCAAGATTTTTGAAAATGCAGAAACTAAAGGATAGAAATTTATGAACACAAAACAGAATCAGGTTAAGTAGTATTGATGTGTTTACATAGAAACTGCTGCTTTAAATCGCGATAAGATAATACGTATTTCTATTTATTAAATCGAAATCCTGGGTTTAGCCCGGTATAAAGCTACAAATATGCAATTCCGAATAACCTTCGAGTAAGAAAAAAGATCTACAGTGCTTCTCAGTTTTCTACAGTTTGCCTATTGACATCAGTTTATGAGAAAATCTGTTTATAAATTGTATAAAATTTTCACAAAATCTCTTGAGTAGAAAAGCATTTTTAATGGCTTGGGATCGAAAGCAGTACGATCTCATTAATTACATTTAAAAAATTTGCAATTAGAAGTTAAAAATTTCTCGTTTTAAAGATCACTTATTTACTTAATTAACTATTCTCACGCAATAATTCACTACAATATGAATAGAGAAATTACTTAGATTAAATAGTATTGTATAGGTGTTTCTTTCTGTCAATAGACACATATGCTCTTAAGCAGTAAAGATTCGCTAGTAACCACATAACTGAGTATGAATCATTCAGACTGCATAATCTAAAGTTTAATTTGTAATATGGCCTGTTATGACACATATTTCATAGGATGAAATGGTTGTCTTGTACTCACTTACTACCAACAGTTATTTCAATGACATTTAACGATCTCCACAACAATAAACTAAAACTTACCATGTGTCCACTTGTGACTAGCTCCGAGAGGGAGTTATCTGGATTCTAATGAGAGGCCGTAACCAGTGGAGCTCAACCATGTCGGCTGAGGCAGTTACCCACCAAAGACAATAGAAGATGGTCGCGCGATATAGTGAATTGGTTGAAGTTAAACAATAGCATCGTTAGGAGGCGGCCCAGTGGTCTTAAGGTTAAGCGTTCTCGCGAAAGCAATGGTCTTGGGATCGAGTCCCGTATGCGGGATTCTTGATGCACACTGTCGAGGAGTCCCATACTAGGATGGAACGGCCGCCCGGTGCTTCCAGTTTTTTGGTGGTCTAACATCGGTCGGTTCATGATTTTAATGAAACAGTTATTTCGCTAATTCATGACTTACAGTTGACATTGGTGCTTTTTTACACAATACATAATCCATATCAGGAAAGCAATAAAAATGTTGAACATGTCAGTCAGAATATACTGCAGTGATTATCAAAATTGAATTTTGTCCGTGAACTGGTGTGAAATAACTGTTTCTCTGACACACAGAAATAATTAATTCATGCTACTTTTTTTTATCATATACATTTTCATTTACGAAATTATTCGAATCGTAAAAATTCAGTATTATCATATTTAAATAAAAATCTTATTATTAAGACAGCTGATATTTATAAAGCCTGTGAGTATCTATGTGAACCCTAGATTTTTATCAAAATATCCACAACAATATTGGTTAACATGAAGATGCCAGAAATATTTAATATACAGTATATACGTGAATTGAAGAAAAAGTATTCAATTAAACAGTTATTTTTACAATATTGTAGATTATAGGAACTAAATAGTTATTTGAAAAACATATTTCTAGTAACTTTTCATAAAATTATGTTTTTCTTGCTAAGGGATTTAACAGTTAATTCGTGTAAATGAATTACTATTTAAAGAGATATTGGCAAATTTTTGTAAATGTGCATCCTGTGGTTATTCAAAACTTGTTATGAAGTTGTTAGATTCGACTACTTTCCTCTATTGATCATGAAATCAAATTAATCTTTAAATCATTGTCTATAAAGGCTTCCTCAATGAAATTATCCATTGTTTATTCATTAGTGGGTAATGCCTTATCATATTTTGAGTAAATTACAAAATATATTACTTCCTCTTATTGAAGTTCACAATATGACTCCCTACAACTAATAATGATTTAACTCTTTGAAAAGCTGAGTAGAAGTGGGATTTTAGTGGACGTATGATTGAAAATACATACAACAGAGTCGTAGGAGAAATAGTTCATTTCCAAATGATGACTTTTAATTTAGTAAATTATATTAAACGATTGTGGTTTACCTTCTCCTTCTCAAAAACAAAATTAAAAATGGGTTAATCAGTTGTCGACGAACCTCTCGTTTAGGATAGAAGCATGATTATTATACAAGAATAGTGAGTGCTCCTCTGAAAAAGAGCTTAACCACACATTACTTTTTTATTAATTAGGTGTAACTTTAATTATTATGGTAGGTACTACGGGTGAATATTATACTGTTATCGATCAAGAAAATTGTAACGTTACTTCCGATGACTTGTTAACTGTAGTTAATATCATGTATTTAACCTGAACACTGTTTTTACTAACGGTTCCAGCTATCTCCCATCTCAGCTCATCCTACTGGATGGAATAAAAGGTGATTTTTTTAAAGAATAGAGAGGACAAACACGTTAGTGATGTATGCCTACTGATTTGAGCAATGTTGGTGATAGAGGTTTACCAGGTAGATTTTGCGAGAAAATCACAATCTATAGTTAAAAACTGGGTGTGGCATAGCTCAAAATCGGTCGTAGTAACATGGGTGAAATCATTTTAGATTCTCCTACACATTTCAAACGCTTTGTCATACCAGGCCATAGCATTTAGACCAAATCTTTTGTGTTACTCATTAATAGAGAACGATAGTTTTTATTTTATGTAACTAGACCAGCTATATGGGATTTCAGTCGCTTCGTATGCAAAACTGGTTAATTCGTCCGGAAACTAGTTAGGAAAACACATAGATTAATGAAGCTTTAGTTTTCAACAGTTAAAATCAATTCAGGACCCTTGTTGCTTGAGTTACTATAAGTACTTGCTGGTATTTAAAGGACTCATTCTTCTGCCATATTTTTTTCATCTTTGGACGATATGTGTTCCTATCCTTCTTGACGCATTATGCTCGAGTATCTTCAACTAAAACGCAAAAATTTCATTCATACTATTATCTTTGTTATTCTAGAACATTTACATTATATTCTCTTTTACAATGACCAATATTTGTCCACCTGAAAAATAACATCACAATTTCAAACTATTTGGTTCTTACTGACCTTTAGCCGCCCATATCTTTCCGTACTTTTTAAACAGTGTGGTGATACTTTTAATTTATTACATCCAAGTTTTAATTAGTTATAGTCAAGGTTATTCATCGGCGAGATTGTCCAAAGGTCAAGTGGTCAGAGTTAGAAGCGGTGCATTTACATAATAAAGTTATATAATCATACTCTCAATTTGATATTATATTAATGTCGTTAACATAAATTAACCACCAACATTTAATTATATAAACCTACAGTTCTACGACTCAATTGTCTAAAATTCAACCTATGACCAAAAGTCTTGATTGTTGCATCATTTAATGATGATAAAGATCAGAAGCTGGATAATACTGTTCATAGGTCGATATACATACACATGATGGGGTGTTAGCACATCAAAACCATCAATGATCTATTTTCATATTACTTACATTATTCGTTAAAATCCTGACTGCCTGACATTTTGAATTAAATGCTTTGTAAAGAACTTCAAGTTCTGATCTCAGAACGGTACATTCCTGTGGCATAAAGTAAAAATAAAATAACATTGATTAATGGTAAAATAATTTTTATCAGATATTTTTTTCTAAATAAACCACAATGATTCAGTAATATCCACTGATAGCGTTAGCATCTCCTACTACCAACAAAATAGAATATTATTTCATTATTAATTCACTTTTATATCTTAGACACTAGTGTAGTGGACGCTACTCACAAAAATGTTTGCAGGCAGTGTGTAGCGGAACGTGACGTTGATGTTACAGCAGTTGTCAGACGGAGTAAAGAGTTTCAGTGCATCAAATACGTGGAGACCAGATGAAAAGGCATTTCAGATGGCAGAGCACAATTAAAGATGCATATGGACGACTGAAAGCTATGTATATGTATCATACAAATTATTTGTGACTTCCTGTAGCAACTATATATTTCTCCTGCCTATTGTCTTATTTTGTGCTAGAAAATCAGGTAAGATGTCGTCAATTATAATCTTAAAACACTTATCTTGAATATCTACTCTATAGTATTATTATTTCACTAAAGTTTTAGCTTGCAAACCCTCCATAAGTTAAAAGCATTTTTGTGATAAAGTAAAATACTGGAATACTTAAAAACCGGAAGATTTAGCTTGTAAGTTAAACTGTAAGTTTTTGCTGCCACAAAAAAAGGCGGTTGGCTAGTTATTCCGTATAATTTGCAAAACTATTCGGCTTGCCAATTTCCCTAAAATATATTTAAGACATTAAAAGATAATTATATATGCAAGTGGTGTCATCTGAATACTGGTTCGGATGAGCGACAAGCTTCTGAAGATGTTTTGCAGGCTAACTATCGTTTACCGGCATATAATACTTTTTTGGATAAGACAACATAAGGTATGAGTCATTTACAACGATAAATTACTTAGTATATCGCCATATGGGACTGGTTTATTATGATCGCAAAAACGTTACCAAAAGTGCCGTATTTTATTGAAAATACCAAAATTCTTATGTGCACTGGATTTTGCTACACAAAAATAATTTATTCAAAGCAATCAATTATCAGGGAATGTTAATGCAAATAATCAACCAAAACTTAGAAATAACGAGGTTACAGTGTCAAATAGAAATATGAGTTTCTAAAACAATCAGCTTGAAGCTTTATGAGACCATAATGATTTATTGTTGCCTTTATGTAGAAAGATCTGTCTTTCTATGCATCAACAAGGAGCTATTTGAAGTAAAAAATGGATGGTTTATTGAATACGTGAGAACATTTGATATTTACCTGGGACTTGCTGAATATGAAAACGATTTAAACGAATGCCTCAAGGAGGAAACTAACGTAAGTTTATGACATTAGCCGTTTAAATTTGCCATCTGCTTCATTTATTAGAGTTTGTACTAAATAATGTGGGTCTATTTGGTTTTTGTCGATATATTCTACTTATGATCAAAGAGGGGCATTCGACTGTGAGGCACAACAGTTCTTTTTGTCCTATTATGTGATTTTAAATCATAACTTTCAAAAAAGGAGAATTACCAATCAGTACTTATGGGTGTTTTGGAACAGATAGAAAAAGGTAAACAAAAAAGCCACTTGATGAACACTATTATGAATGGAACAAAAACAGTATTCAGGTGGATAAAATCAAACTACTGCACCAAAGTAAGTTACATTTGTAATATTATTAACTGCTAAGATAAGTGACACAGAGTTTAATCGAATAAGATCTAAGTGAACCTTAGGAAACCAGATTTCAAGCTCATACATCTTGCCTAACGAATAAAATCTAATGAATACACTTATCTAGGGATATAAATAATGTAGTGTATTTTATTTTTATTGTTACTACGCTGTGACTTCAGGTGTTTGAAAAGGAAATAAAAAATGCTATTTGCTATCTATACTAAAAATCTTATTCAAAGCGGAAAAGAGGCTTAATTTGAAACAAAGTCATGGATTTTTCGAACTATAGTAAAAAACGTCTAAGGTTATTGTCTTATTTGCTTGTCAGCTTTTGGGTTAGAAACCGTCCCTAGATAAAAATCAATCATATTCCCGTAAAATAGCTCATAAAAACGTTTTAAGTATATCAACGAAAAATTATAATTCGAAGCACTTTAGGACACTTACAAGTGAAACACCATGAAGTCTAGAATGCAAATCACGGACTGCCTTTATAGAGTTTTCTGTAAAGCCATTTTGTTCTTGTCCAGTAGTACACAAAAGCATACTAAAGCAGAAATCATGCTGACAAATTGGACAATTAAGGCCCTTTTTAGATAACCATAGTTTAGTACCAAACTTTGGGTCCCTTGGTTCAGGGATTGAACTTGATTCAGAATCTCCCAATAACAATTGTTGGTTTTAATAAAACTTACCATTGGACGTTGCACATGAACTTAAACTGCTGCTGTTATTTACGAAGTTTTGTCCACCAGATCCATTTAACTGATTTTCTAAAGCATCACTTTGACTGTTCGTCAACATTTATGTAGAACGTTGTTACAGATGCTGGAGAAAATGACTGAAAAAATAACCATGGGGAAAGGTCTATCAGTTGAGATATACCGAGATTAATTTTAATAGTTTTTAATCAAGAGCAGCTTTCTTAAAGAACCCCTCGTAAATTTTTATGCCATCAACTGTTGTCTCTCAAGCATATGAAGAGATTAAAGAAGTCGGGTAAGGTAATCTTAAATTTTTAGTGATTAACTTAGCACAGTTGTATCGGTAATAAGCTGATCCAGTTGAGAATTCTTGAAGTTTAATCATTTGAGAAGTATTATTTTATGACTTAATAAATTTCCTTGGCAGATGCAGAGGATTTTTTCGTCGCCAGGTTTTTGAGCCTGTCATTATATCCTTGATTTATCTACACAACTTAGCGAGCACAAAACAATTTATCGAAAGATATCGAATACAAACCTAAAAGGTAATAGTTTTTTGTGAAAATCTTGCCACCGCTCACATGCAGACTATGTTGGAATTGATTTAAATATTCAGGTCCATCACTATATCACTGTTAATAAATTTCGATTGCTAAATGATATTTCATAAAACCGTTAGTGCACAACTTATTAGTAGATAGATAACAGCATTTCGTTTACTACGTAGCAATCTGTACTGCACCTTGTGAACATCTTTATTGGCTTTGAGATATAGAAGCAAATAACCGCATAATAACTCTTAAAAGAAATAATAATTGGAATAAACTTAAAGGTTAACAAGAGAAAGAGATAATTATATAGATGAATTCGATCTTTTGATGATCTACTCTGAATCGTCATCATGTAAGTAAAATTAAATCTATGGCTGAACGTGCAATTGCGAAGACTTTGAGAATTTATTTTATTTATCTTGCGGAGGATAAAATACAGTTGAGTGGTAATATGTTTAAATACTTTAAAATCCATAACAATGGATGATCCTGAAAGAATTTGAATATAAATTATCTCATAGCAGTTTCCTTTTATTAACCGCGACAGTTGATAATAAGCATGGAAAATCAAAAGTATTACAGTCACTTCTTCGATATAACCTCCGAAACTCATCGCATAATTTACAAGGCCGCAAATAATTTGTCCTTTTTATTCAAATGAATTACTAAAACAAGAATATAAAATCACAGTCTCTGTTGTGTATAAATGGAGGTTTTTAGTCCGTAAAGATTCAAGCAATCGGCAGCAGATGTGTAGATGTATAATGTTTGTTTTGGTCCTTCGGAAATCAGAAAAACAGAGTATTACCTTATATTGATCATAATAATTAAGGAGTGACATCTCTCTATAAGGCACTCCCCCCTACCATGTTTCCGCGGATTTTAAGTGTTATCGTTAGAAACACACAGTTACGTTAATTTACTCATTAGAACTCTACTTTTCACAGTAGAAACGCCTGTTAAACCAATTTATATTTCAAATTACTGGACTAAAAGGTTGAATAACAATATTATCAATGAGACAATATATTGATCAGCAACGCTGGGATCTATTGGTTTTATGTAAGTTTGTTGTTTTTTGAAGTCTTTCAAAAGGTTAAGTTTCAACCGTATCACTTCTAGTGATCAAACTCATTGTCAATTTGCCATCCGAGGAACGACATCGGCGCTGACTTAACGCTTAAAGTAACAAAGAAATTGGCAAACGACATAGAGTCTCAAATAGAGATAATTGTGTTTTCACTGTCTGTAACCACAGTGAAGCCGTACTGCTCAACAATTTTTTTTTCATACTGCAAAGAAACTGTTTCACAGGGAATCTTAGATATCTATTCTAATATCATTGGTCCAAAGGTATTGAAGATGCCACAGGTATTCGGAGTTCGACAACGCTTTAACCAGTAACACCTAATATGAATCGCATCCACCAAGTGAAATCAAAAGACAGAAGCGAGGAGATCGAAGATATATTTGATGGGCTATCAATATATTGAGGATCATTTGCACTAATCTGGCTAACGATTGCGGCAGATGCTGAGCACGACGTTTTCACATGTGATCTGGTGCGGGTGCTTGACCAAGCGCCTTCAGCTAGATGAGTCCACTAAAACTGTGGTCAGCATCCAATGTCGAAAACTTACAGAGCTATTTATTTTAGGGATTTATTTACCGCTACAGATCACTCCCCCCTAGTGTGGTAGTGATGACCCTAAGACGTGGCCAGCCAGAAGTTTAAACCCAATGAGTTTTTCGTTGGTAAACACTCTTCTGATAGCTTGCTAGATTTGGCAGCGTCTGGTTGTTTTTCCTTATCATAAGGGACCATGGTGTACAATATAGTGAAAAGAAGGAAAAGTACAATGAAAATTTCCGTTCCTCACAACTTCATCGTTTTTTTTATCGTCTTTTCCAGCCGTCCTGGAAAAGAGAAAAAATATGTAAGTGCACGTCGGAATACACTCGTACGCGCGTGAAAACACAAAGCGGGCGAAAAAAAGGAAAATAAACTCATGCTCGCGTAATAGCGTAAAAAACGAGGATTTTTATAATATGGCTTTTTTGTTTTGTTTTTTTAAATAAAAAGTAAAAATATATAAGCATATTAAATTTTTTTTAAATTATATAAAGTGCAAGGGAAAATCGAGACAATATAAATTGTCGACTTGTATCTTACGTGCAGTAATCGTTCAAACGTTCTGGAAATCTTACTCTTCTTCCAGAACGCGTTGTTTTAAGTTTATTTTCTGATACCGCCGAAGTATCAACGTGTGTGTTGGCTGTCGATTGAGGTATTATAAATGCAGGAGTTGTTTCATGCGATTGTATTAAAGGAAAATCTATGTGAATAGGATTTCCTTCTAAATACACTGCTTTGAGGCGATCGATGCTGATGCTATCGTTGGTTCCGATCTTATCGATTATATAGTACTTAGGTTCGCGTTGAAGAACTTTGTAAGGTACTTCGTACGCTGATTCGAGAGGTCGTCGATGTGTGTCTCGACGTACGAAGACGTGTGTACTATATCGTAAGTCGGGTTGAACGAAAACATCAGTTGATTGTGGCCGAGTGGAAACAGGTTTAACTGAACGCATTGCGTTTGTAAGCCTGTTCGTGTGGGGGGTTAGATCTTTCGTGTCTATAGGTAAGTCTCGTGTTATCAATAGAAGAAACCAGACTCGTAGGAAAATAGATCTTTATTTTGATTTTCGCGCAGTCACAGTGGAGCGCGGAATTCCTTACTCAGACAAACAAAGTTTCTCAACATACAACATAAGATAATTAGGAATATAACGCCTATACAGAATAAAGAATTGAATAAATATCTGAACATATGCCTAGTTGCGTGAGATCAACTAATCAATCGACCTAAGCTGTTACATCAGCTTCCCCCTAGAATCGACTTCCGTAGGAACGTCGGTTCGATAACCTATTTATCAAAAGCAATTTAGTTCTGTTTCCGCAGTCCAAGGTAGAATTATCAACTCGCTCACTATGACTTCAGATCAATGACGACTAACTCCGTCGGTAATCGACGATAGTTCGTGGATGTCTCTTCATTTGCCAGCTTGTCATCTTATTTTGTAGCATGCAATTTTTTTCTACAGCTACCGCTAACGGTTTGATACGTGCTCTCAAGAGAGTGTGAGAAAATGCAACAAGAGTGCCTGAGGAAGTGCCGCGAGCGGGCTACCCAACACCATGTTGGTGAGGTACAATTTTCCCATGCTCTGTCCGGCTATCAGGTGTTTACTCACCTGCCTCTTGAGTCGCCCTCAAGTAAAAAGTAAAGAAGAGTCTACTCCAAAGTTAATGATGAAAATCAATAAAGCGTGAAGAACTGCTCCACTGTCTGCATAAGATAATAGGGTGCAAAATGGAAATACATAAATATAATTGATAATTGCTCGGTTCCAAGTAAGTGTTTTGCCCCCAGAAGGGTTGGTCGTCTGGAAGGAAATAGACATAGTGTAGACATCTTGTGTACGAAAAAATATAAAAGCAAAACAAGAAAAATACTCTTTTTGAATGCATATATGTAAATGTGTGAATTTGTCAGAAGTTGGACTCCTCATTAAACCTGATCAAATGTATGACATTGAGTCTATGGTGACCGCCCATTATAACCAGGTACGTAACCAAGGTCAGAAGCGAGGAGGTCGAAGGTATATTTGATAAGCTATCAATATATCGAGAATCGTTTGCACTAATCTGGCTAACGATTGCGGCAGATGCTGAGCACGACGTTTTCACATGTGATCTGGTGCGGGTGCTTGACCAAGCGCCTTCAGCTAGATGAGTCCACTAAAACTGTGGTCAGCATCCAATGTCGAAAACTTACAGAGCTATTTATTTTAGGGATTTATTTACCACTACAGTATATATCGATCTGCTTTAGTGAGCAATAGACATGAAATAACCCCATCATGAAGTGGAGAATTGTGTCTTACATCTCTTAGGCTCTCATTACGAAAGTATTTATCACTATGTATGCATGGTGTTGATCTAGATTTAAGTGATGCACTACAAGAGTTTATTTGGCGTTGGAGAATGGAGGCAGTTTACGATAATCAAGATGGTTATTAGGGATCCAATTCACTGTGATCACATCAGTTCTTATCTACCTGCAGAGGTTGAAATTTCGGCGCTTCCAATCCAGAAGAGGAGGGTTTATTTCTTATTTTAAGTACCTTTAACAGTCGCTTTATCTGAACTCTACAGAAAGGCGTGATATTTTTTAAGCAACTCTAAAAACTCTCATCCAGCATTACTAACAGTTTGGAAACCGAAATCATCGGTCCTTATTATTTTACGTTTTTAATAAATAAAGCCACCACCTGAGTAAATACTATTATATAACAATGAGCTATAATAATTACGAAAGTGCCTGTTGTCAATTGGCGTTACCCGAAGGGAAAGAGACACAAAGTGTCTCCCTCAGTAGCTAATTTTTGACAACCTTTCCTGTTTGGCATTGTCCGTAATTCAAAACTGATAAATTCGCCTAACTCAGTTAACTCATCCTGATCTTGGTTAGGCGATTGTTTGTTCATTAATTGATTATTAGAAAATACCCAATTTATAGGCGCGATTGTTATGCATCACCAATGCTACTAAGGATTGGATCCAAGCTGGACAGAAAAGATTACATTTCGAAGAGACGTTGTACTCTGGTCATGAAGAAAAACGTGCTTCGCACGTATAAGGAGTTGCACTGATGCAGTGAAAAGAAGCACGAAAAGCACTCACAGGATGAGAATCTTATGGAAACTTGATCATATGGTGTTTGTATGAACTGGTGGCTCTTTTGTACCTGATGACTGCTTGTTTTTTCGTTCTAAATACAATACGCTTCTTTGTTCTCACGTAGTTCTGTTTGGTTCAAATTGAGCTATTTCAAATTGGCGTCGTGATGGAGCCCGTGATGGGACAGCTGGACCTACATTCAAATTTTGGTGCCTTTCAGGATTATATAGAGAGGTTTGAAGTCTGAACTATGATCAAGGAAGATTTTGAGGATGTTAACATTATGGCTCATTTGCTTACATTAATCGGGAAAGAAGTTTTTATTCTATTAAAAACCTGGAGCACTTTCGGGGATACTTTTATATCAGATATCAGTGCTTCAGCTAGAATGTTGTCAGGTCCTTCTGCCTCTTCAAACTTCATTTGTTTGATGGCCATTCTGCTTTCTCCGATCCTAGGAACTCTGCCATCATTTTGCCAGTCTTTGCCTTATCATCTGCATCAGATCCTCTTTGTTTATTTATGATGCTGCCCAAGTGCGTGAAATCACCAACATCTTTCACAGCTTCTCCATGAAGTATAATTGTTTTGGTTTTCTCCACGTTATATTTTGGTATCATTCCGATCTTGGTGTTCAGGTATCTCATCAGGATGGTCCTGTCCTTTCCAGGGCACATCTCCAGGATCGACTACAGACTCTCATGAAACCGATATTTTTCATCTTCGTTACCACCATAGGTGAGTACATACCGTTGGATAACATTCCTTGTGATACCTTTCTTTCTTTTCGAAGGATGACTCGTGCTAATTAGAAGTATTTGAATTATTAAGCAAACTAGGAATCCAGAAATGCCGTGATTTAGACCAAGAAGAACTAGATGAGCACGAACAAATGTGCTATATTTGGAATCCTAAATCAGATAGTCATCAAGTACAAAGGAACCATTATTTTATACAAACACCACACCAGCCAGAGTTTAAATGGGACTCAAAGTTTCTGCAACCAACTGAACGTCTTCTCCTCATATTCATCATATGTCTCTCAGAATTTGTAATCGATGTAGACTCTGTATGATCTGGAATATGCTCATTGGCGCTAAACTTAACAAGTAAAATAGGAACAGACTCACCTGTGTCTTGGGGCTGTTTACAATCACCACGTCGGTTGTGTACCGAAACCACTAATATCTAGAATTCGCACCATAAACTTTACACATCCCCAAATTCTAATTAATGTGGCTTCACTTTAAGCATATTTCTCACATTAACTGGAGTACTCACTAGAAGTGACTTCATGATAGGAATAAACAACAGCTGATATGAAATCATCCGAATTGTAGCCAAAATCCAACTTGTTTAGTATTCGTGCTTCGCATTGAACAAGTTTCCCACAAGAAAAAAATGCATTATGAGGACGAATAACATTTGATATAACATCAATATTTGATTTTTCCGGAGTATTTCCCCAAAATATATTAAAAATGTCATTGGATAATGGATAATAATAATAATAATATATTTCTGCATGAGCAGGTACACGCCATTTTTACAGGCATGATCATTAGAAAAATTCGCATTTATCAAGACTGCTCTGAATTTTCGTTCACGGTTTGATTCATTCAAAATGTTTTTCTCACATTTATAAGGAATTCCACCAGAAATATACTAATCACCAAAACAAACTGTCTTACACTAACATGAGAAACCGATAAGTTGGTTGGTTAGAAACTTTTGTCTCACAATGATTCTGAGTGTCATCTAATCATGAACTGCTATGCGACTTTACACTGCTTTTTGAAATCGTGGATAAAGATAAATGATCATTAGAAACTCTCAATTTGATAGGATCGGAATCGAAAATATCCGGCATTATTTGCTGCGAAATCAACATTAGTATCACAAACTGACTGAATGTGTCCAATTTTACCATATTTAAAGCATTTAGCACTACGAAATACACATGAAGAACGTGATATTTGTCGATGCGGCTTCAGGCGTCCGTTTGTGTTTGGGACGTGGGGTTATAACTAACTACCATATTTGGGAAACATATATGAGTAAAATTCTGAATCACAATGATTTAGTTATCATAGTAAGTCGTCGTCTGAAAGCAACGGTTTAATGATTTTCAGGTTAAACGCTCTAGAACAGAAGATGCTGAAGGTGCTGATATTAAGTTTTCTGATAGGGAATTCCGGCTGGAATTACTAGTAACTCACTACTCGATGCGAGAAACGAAAATCCAGACGTAAACGATTTAATCTCTATTTTTAAACTTTCTTCGAATGTTCTCTCAAATGATCAGACCTAGACTGAGGGAAAATATAAGACATGTTAATACCAAGGTCATCGTTCAGTATACGATATTAAATCAATATTATATCACCCCGTATTCTACGGTGAGTTAACGGAAATAAGTTAAGGTGTCTCAGTCTGCTTTCATAAGATAGGCCAGATAGAACTTTTACCATCTTAGCCGCTCGTCATTGGACTCGTTCCAGAATATCGGCGTCATAATTAAAACAATATTCCAAATGTGGTTGCACAAAAGTCGGGGATAGTAATCTAAACATTTCATCCAAATACTGGAAAGACCTAGGAATAAACCACAATACTCTATAACCTTTTGCAGCAGCCTTACAGTGACTAGTAGTTCTGAGATCACTGCTTAGTATCACTCCTGAATCTTTGTAGTTTCTTACTTTGGGTAGCACGGATCCACATATTGTGCAGTGATACGAATCATTACAGTTATTTGACTGCATCATCACACTCTTGTTAGGATTTACTTCTAGTGACCACCTGTCCATCCATGCCACCAATGAGCTGGGATCCTCCTGTGATACTATTCTATCTGACATGCTGTGTATGGGTCTCCGAATTATTATGTGATCACAGAAGAGTTGAACGGATGATTTTGCTACAGTTGTTAATTCATTTACATAAAGTAAAAAAAGAAGAGGACCGAGGATTGTGTCTTGGGGAACTCCACTTTTTAGAGGTTCCCACGATGAGAGTTCCGTTTACACTTACCCTTTTCCTCTTGTCATGGATAATGTCGCTTATCTAGTCTATGACTGTATAATGGATTCCAAAACTTTCCAGTTTTGATTTAAGACCGGAATAGGAGACCTTATCGAATACTTTATTTAGATCTATCAAAAGCACATATACATGAACATTTTTGATCTTTTGCAGCAGCCCAATCTTCTATTGCAATGAGATTTGTCAAACATGATAGGCTTCCCTGAAAACCATGTTGTTCTCTGGATAAAGAATTATGCCCTTCCACATAGTTTATAACAGCTATCCGGATAATTTTTTGTATTAGTTTTACAACTGCACTAGTTAAGCTAACGGGTCGATGGTTACTAACTAAATCCCTACTCCCAGCCTTATACACCGGACTAATTGTCTCGTCTTTCCAGTCCCTGGGCAGTCTGGACTACCTCAGAGACATATCAAGCAGTATTGCTAAAGGTTCAGCAATTACATCTAATAGGGCTTTCATAATCCTAGGATGAATATCATCAGAACCACTGGATTTATCAGGTTTGAGATGTTGAAGTAGTCTTAAGACATTGCTTTTCTCAATAACTGCAAGGTTCATCAACAAGCTGCTATAGTCACAATGAATCGTTGGTCGTTCTTCATCACTGATAGCAAACACTTTATTGAAATAATCCGATAAAGCATCAGCTTTTTCGACATCATTTCTTGCCAATATTAACGGATTTTCTTGTATCAAAAGTGATGAATTCCATTCTGTACATGCCCCAAGCTCCTGTTTTAAAAGCTACTTGGATTTCCTGTTTAGAGTACAAAAGGTTTGTCTCCATGGGGCTTTAAAGAGGTCTTAAAATTTACGTCAGGTTATACTATTATAAAACAGATTTGGAGGTGACTCGCTGACGTACACGACAACGAGAAATGATTTCCAATCTTAGTTATCCCCAGTAGTGTCTGTGCCTTCCATTCATTCAAAAGAGACTAGGCACTACTCAGAACCAAACAAGTACGAGATCAACATGGGCTATCACTATTTAGACTCAATGCACCAATATGAAACTACACACGAAGTTTTAAGTTTTTCCCCAACATTCGTAAGTATTCAGCTACTTTTTTGAAGTTAATGTAACGCTATCAGATATACAGAGTAGACAATACATCATTGTAAACAGTTTATTTCACAATTGTCAGCTATGTTTGGATACGCATGTTTGACCTTGAGATTCAGGTTCGAAGGTTCGACTTAGTTTTTCAGTGTCTAAATTACTGGTTACAGCATGTTAGTGTGTATATTTTGAATATTGGTTCCCACCTTTTACTTCCAATGTTTACATTTTTATAGTTAGTGATATAAATTTAATGATATATGTACTTGAACATATATACTATACATTATGCCATTGGATATGTTAATTCCGTGATACTTCGAAAATTAGAGGCAAGGTTTTGTTCTGTAAACAGTGAAATCGAGCCTCCGCTATTTCATTCGTGAAATGTATCCACGTATTTCACGAACTCCGTATACGTATGTATGTGGAGATATCTTGTGATAATTAATTGATCGAGTCGTTTCAACGACAATATATCGTCGTACTTCGTCGTAGTACTACACTGTCAAAACAACTCAGCAGACTAAATCCTAATGCTTCAAACTACTCGGTCATGCACTTCATTCAAATTCCTTTGTTTTATATTGATTTTAATCCCGTCATCGATGTCTTTCTCAACCCTTATTTCTTCCTTGGACTGTCTCCAATGTAAATTTCGACAGTGCGATATTTGTTTCTAATAAAATAGATGTGGTCGTAATGAAATAACTGTTTTGACTTTACATTTGAGTTTTTCATCAGGTATAGGGTATTCTGTGTGATAAACTGAGATTTAGTGCGTAGTTAATAAAATAATAAGACCTGGTCAGTGTTTTATCACCGTTTAGTTTTGACTAAAATCATACTGGTTACATTTTTGTGCATATCAAAAAAGTACTTGGTTCATTAAGGGCCATTATGGTGCATACTAATTTTAAACATCCGAGCATCTCACATGCCATTGCTCCTCTGTAGCTAAACATCACTTTCTTTGGTATTACCATTTTGGCTATCGAATTCAGTAGGCATTTGTTGTTGGCGAGACCAACAAAAGTTTTCCTAGTGGTAAACGTTTAAAGTCTTTTTTGACATCATGTTTTGACACATGTTTCATACAGTACAAGGCGTAGCTCTCATGTTAATCTCAAAAACCTGCCCCATAAATTTGACCTCACAACAAAATTAGGACTTAACATTCTTTTGCTGATTATCAGATACTTGCTATCGTTAGAGTATCACGATCCTGATGTATTCTGGTATTTCTAAGTTTTCTTATGGCAGTTTGAGCAGTCAGTCACAAATATTGAGAGATTATTATTATTATTATTTTAACACATAGGTATTGGTACAAGGAGGCACCAAATACATATGCGCCACACAAATCTCATTTGATTTGTGTGAGGGCTGTGATACTACCCGGGTGCCCAAACCGAAGCAGGTGGTTTTCTTAGGGGGCCACACCCCGAGCCTTTGACCTGAATGTCTGACCCACAAGGCAGTAGAGCATCGTGAGGAGATGCAGTCCCATGGTAGCCGGTGACCAACGATTGGTTCATACGCCATTTGTTCCTTCAGGATACTGGAGCCCATGTGCACCATTGGTTTGGGGTCCGGTTAAAGCGACAGACATTCGCTTTTCGTCCTCTCATTTTTGTAAACAACACCCCCTCCACGAGAAGGCAGTGAGTAGGACTTCCGTGGCAGAGGCTATATACGCATGGCCATGTGAGAGCATTTCGAGAGGGAGAGCGGACTCTCCCCACTCTCGGCCGTACCAGGGCATTTTGGGGCACATATCTTGATAGTTCTCACTGTGCCATACAGTGGCTTGAAGTAGTGCAGTGTTGTCTCACATTCTTTGATGAAGTAATGGTTATTTTCAGCAATTTATTAGTATTGTTTTTATCATTGTCGAGTAGGTCAGTACAGTGGCATGAAATTAAGACTTAATCAGACCCCACAATTCAATTGCTAGCTCTGCAGTAGGGCGAATTTCCGTGTATTAATTTTAACTAGTTCAGACTGAGAATTTGATTGCCCACAAATCCTGTCTAGCTCTCCAAGTTAGACACTCGGCAAATCGAATCATGAAATATCATCTTTCTCAGTTCTCAGAAGTTATTTCAAGGGTAAGTTGATACTATGCTGTCTAATAATAAGCTCTCCTCTTAAGATTCCACACAAGCTGACTAATGTGTAAATCATGTGCTGTTGATGGTCTTTGAATGACTGTACAAATTTCAGTCTAATATGAATCAAGTAACTCGGTTAAAAATCAAAGTTCAAATATCTTTTGAATTTCATACACATAGTTCCCTTTATCATTTTGAAAAGAGCAAGAACAAACATTCTAGCAGAATAGCCTGAATTCATTTTTATTTCGTTGGTTCTCGTCAGCTGCTTACAACCTGTGATATTTAAAATCATGATTACATAATGGGTTTAAATTACTTACATGCCCCCAAATGCCCTGGTATGGCCGAGAGCGGGGAGGGTTCGCCCTCCCTCTCGAAATACTCTCACACGGCCACGCGTATACAGCCTCTGCCAGGGAAGTCCTACTCACTGCCTTCTCGTGGCGGGGGTGTTGTTTACGAAAATGAGAGGACGAAAAGCGAACGTCCGGCGCTATAACCGGATCCCAGTTCTATGGTGCACATGGGCTCCAGTATCCTGAAGGAACAAATGGCGTATGAACCAATCGTTGGTCACCGGCTACCATGGGACTGCATCTCCTCACGATGCTCCACTGCCTTGTGGACTAGACCTTTAGGTCAAAGGCTCGGGGTGTGGCCCCCTAAGAAAACCACCTGCTTCGGTTTGGGCACCCGGGCAGTATCTCAGCCCACACACTAAAACTATGATGAACTATCTGCTTATAGAAAATATTCGTTTCTCTCCGACTAACATTGAAATGACTGGTATTATTATTATTATTTACTACGTCATTTATTCACTATCTCCTATTTCTACTTTTTGTATCCGTTTCGACTCAGACAGCAACTCGCCTATGGTGAAAATTCAGCTTTATCTAAAAGTTCTCGAGTCACTGCCTGGTTTAAAATTGTATGCTACCGCCGAATACGAATACTGAAGCAGTTTTTCTGAAACCACGTGCACCATTCAAACTGGCTGCCTTCAACGTTCGCACACTTATGCAGGTCGGACAACAGATAGGGCTGGCTATGTCTTTGGAAAGTCTTAATATTGATTTGTGTTGTCTATCCGAGACCCGTATTCAAGACTCTGGTGAAGTACTACAAGTTCGCTCTCCATCTGTCGCTTCAAAAAGCTTGTTTTATGTGCGTTTATCCGGGGACCCTGTGGCATCTTCGTCTGGTCTTACTGGCGTTGGTGTCGCACTAAGCGCAAGAGCTGAGGCAGCACTAGTCGACTGGATCCCCATTAACATTCGGTTATGTGCTGTTAGATTAGAAAGTTCCATCAAAGTGAGAAGAAATAGGCGTGAGAAACGATGTCTTTTCGTCATCTCCGCCTATGCCCCGACAGATTGCAGCCCGGATGCAATCAAGGACGAGTTCTACCACCAGCTAACTGTTCTTCTCCAGAAAGTGCGTTCGACAGATATTGTAGTACTAGCTGGAGACTTGAATGCTCAGGTCGGGCGTCTAGGCACAGAAGAGAGTCGTTTGGGTGGCCGATGGGGAATCGTTGGTCGCAGGACAGATAACGGGGAACGTCTACTGCAACTATGCACAGACCACAACCTGTTTCTGGCTAGCACTAACTTTCGGCACAGTCATCGCCGATGTGCCACCTGGCGTCCTCCTTCTGCATCTCAAGCCTGGACTCAGATTGATCACATCGCGATCAGCTACCGCTGGCGCGGTTGTGTACAAGACTGCCGCTCCTTTTGGAGTACCTATCTGGAATCTGATCATGCTCTGGTCTGCGCCAATCTTACCTTACTTTTCAGTGGACAACGAAGTGACCGCCACCAAAGGATTGATGTTAGCAAGCTGGCTGCAACTTCTGTTGCTAGTAAGTACCAAACCGAGCTAGCTTCTAGGCTAGCTACCATTCCACCGAAAAGTATAGATGAGCATTGGTTGCAATTGCATGACGCCATGAAAATGGCGGGTCAAGTCAATTGTGGGTTTGCGAAACGTCCCGCTTACAAGCACTAGGTTTCTTCTGGTTCCTTACAACTGATTGAAGCCCGTCGGTCTACTCCGGGTGACCGTGAGTTTGACCACAGACGAAGGATGTTACGTAATGAAATCGGGCAAAGCTTGCGTAAGGACCGAGAAGCCTGGTGGTCGGAGCGTGCCAGTGAGTTGGAAGCAGCAGCTGCATCTGGTAATTACCGGAAGCTCTTCCAAGTCATCCGAGCCACTGGCAGCAAGAAGTCTGGTGTGAGCGAAACAATCTGCGAGGATGACGGAACGCCAATCACTAACATCCATCGACGTCTTGGACGATGGGCAGAATTCTTTGAAGGGCAGTTCAACTGGCCTGCTGCTCCGGCAACATCGGTCAGAATGTCCTGCCCTCCATGGCCGGGGACGACTGATCCACCAAATGAGGCGGAAGTCCGCAAGGAACTCCAACTCTTGAGACGTTATAAATAACCGGGCCCAGACGACTTACCTCCGGCTCTTTAAAGATGGTGGTGACTTTCTGACTAAGGGACTGACGACGTTGTTTACAAAGATCTGGGAACTAGAGAGTGTACCAACGTCATGGAATGAGTCGATAGTTGTCCCTATCTTTAAAAAGGGTTCACGTCGTTCCTGTAACAACTATCGGGGGATAAGTCTACTTCCGATTGCGTCCAAGCAATTGGCTTCCGTCATACTTCGTAGATTGTTCAGAACCCGAAAAGGATTGACTCGCGAGTAGCAGGCTGGGTTTCGTTCTGGTCGAGGATGTATTGATCATATCTTCACCCTCCGCCAAGTGTTAGAACACCGCCATACTTATCAAAGGCCAACAATCGTAGTGTTTCTTGATATCAGGGCTGCCTTCGATTCGTTGGACAGAACTGTTCTCTGGGATTGTCTATTGAAGAAGGGTGTGCCTGAGAAGCTTATTAACATCCTAAAAGCCCTATACACAAACACCTCAGGCAGAGTGAGGGCATACAACCACCTTTCTCCACTATTCCATTCGAGCAGTGGGGTTAGGTAGGGTTGCCCAATCTCACCATTCCTCTTCAACTTTGCCATCGATGACATTCTGGAATCAGCTCTGACGGATGTAAGTAATGGTGGTGTGGATCTGTTGCCTGGAGAAAGACTTCTCGACCTTGAGTATGCGGATGATATTGTCTTACTGTGCGAGAATGCCCAAGCCATGCAGTCCGCACTTAATCAGTTGGCAATCAGTGTCCGTAGGTATGGTATGTGCTTTGCACCTTCGAAGTGCAAAGTTCTTCTACAAGACTGGCAGGATTCTAATCCTGTACTCACTCTGGATGGTGAGCAGATTGAAGTAGTCGAGAAGTTCGTGTATCTAGGTAGCTGCATAAGTGCTGGTGGTGGTGTGAGTGATGAGATCAATGCACGTATAGTGAAAGCCAGAGCGGCTTATGCCGATCTGGGCCATCTTTGGCGCCTTCGTGATGTTAGTCTGGCTGTAAAAGGTCGGATCTACAACGCGACGGTGAGAGCGGTTTTGCTCTATGCTTGTGAAACCTGGCCTCTCCGAGTTGAGGATGTTAGACGACTCTCTGTGTTCGATCATCGCTGTCTCCGAAGGATTGCTGGCATCCAGTGGCAACACCATGTTAGTAATGCAGAGGTTCGGCATCGAGTGTTCGGTCACAGAGACGATAATGAAATTGGTGTCACCATCTTGAAACACCGACTTCGGTGGCTTGGACATGTTCTACGAATGTCGTCCCAGAGAATTCCACGTCGTGCATTATTTGCCGACTCTGGGACTGGTTGGAAAAAGCGGAGAGGTGGTCAGTATATGACATGGTGTCGTGGTATGAAAGAAAGCTGCAAAGGGCTAGCTTCTGTTGGTCCTTCACGACTCCCTGGTTGGGGTCCGAGAGACGGTGTAACGCAGTGGATAGAGACGTTATCAGATATGGCTCAGAATAGAAGCCAGTGGCGATCGTGCTGTAACCTTCTTTTACTTTCTTCATAAAAAGTGGTTGTATCTTCCTTAACTGAAAGATCTCTTCTGATTGTACCTTTCCGTTTCCCCCACCATTGTTCTCTCTCTCTCCCTTTTTTTTTATAATTCCCCACGTTCAATACTTTTTTTTCTCTTTTCTCCTTCTCTTCAAATTATCATTGTTTTGTGTGGCGCATATATATTTGGTGCCCCCCTGTACCAATATTTATGTGTTCAAATAAATAAATACTTACATGAAAGAGTTTGATTGGAAGTTACATTGAAGATATATTCGTATAGTATGGTCTGTAACAATAAACAGCATGCACTTCGCCTGCTAAAACTCTTCAATAACGCTCATCCTAAGATACAATTTGCTATGGAACACGAACAGAATAACATGTTCCACTTTCTTGATGTTGCTATAAAACGTAGGAGAGACGGGACAGTCCAACGTCCGAAAAAGTGCTTGGAATGGCCCTTACCTGAATTTCAATAGAATATTGCGCTAGCCAGAACTTATCCGGCGGCCAAACTTCTAATTCTGTATAAAACAACATGTTCAATAACTCAATCAAAGGTTGATGAGCATCCTTTTCATTTTACCGCCAATTGTATTTATAAATTTACGTGTACCTGCCAAAGCAGCTACGTTGGCCAAACAGAAAGGGGGGCATATCTCAGATTTTTTGAGCATGTTCCAAAAAGCCTCAGAACAAGAGAAAGAAAGACTTTAAATAATGCAATCACCAAACATCTTGATATAGGACATCAGGTCGATACCCTACAATCGTTCAAGGTGATTAGTAAGCAGCCAAACTCCAGTCTTCTGAAGCTTGCTGAAGCAGTTGCTATCAGACACCAGAAACCTGATTTACGTGTTCAAAAGGAGATGATTATTAATCTTTCTTTGCCTTGGTGACTAATATTCTTTCGCTGTATCTTAATATTTTTTCTTTTTCTTTAAACTCTTTCTTGCACTTATCACATCATTGAGTTTTATTTCAACTATCTTCCAAATTAATAATCTTATTTTATCAACTGAACTCTGCTCATTTTATTCCTATCAATGTTTACTTGTTTCTAGCCCTTTAAACTGTTGTCGCAATGTTCTTTTATATAAGGTTTATATTTACAATATTCAGTCTATTCAATTTATTTACACCCTTGCTATACTATACGAATATGTCTTCAATATAACTTCCAATCAAACTCTTTCATGTAAGTAATTTAAACCCATTTTGTAATCATGATTTTAAATATCACAGGTTGTAAGCAGCTGACGAGAACCAACGAAATAAAAATGAATTCAGGCTATTCTGCTAGAATGTTCTTGCTATCTTTTGAATGTTATATTCCCAAATTTGAGAAAATCAACATTTATCAAATATGTTAATTGTTTGTAATTTGGGTGGACTTTTCAGTGATTGGATAAGGATAGACGAGCATCACGTATGTTCATAACTTGTGATTATCCACAACATCCATTATTCCTGATAAATAACTTTTATACAATAGTAGTCATAAAAACTCGATTATTTAAATTATTTCAAAAACATGAAATAGAAAATAAATAAGAGAGTGGTAAAACCAAATTCATTCACTAAACTGAGGGGTCAAATATTTTTCAAACAATCTCGTAGAATGCATTCAACTATTTCACAGCAAATTATTTACCCAGGATATTTTATGTCTAATAATTTATGGTTTCATTTATATTTGTAAATCAAATTGTGATTTTTATTAGGCTTAATTGGCCATTTCGATCATTAATTTTAGACAATAAATTCATTTCTCCATATCCTTTTTAGTAACTCAGTATCCACATAATGGACAGTTTAAATACAAGAAGTCTTGATGACTATCGTGTGAATGCTTGTGATGCCATCCAATTCAAACTAGGTTTGTTCAATAACTTCTTTAATTGCATATGAAGTTAGGGACAAGGAAACTGTCGATTCGGTAGATACATTCAATCCTGAGTTCACTCATCAAATATTTGGTGAAAGGTTTATTAGCTTTCAGTGTTGCTAAACAATGTTTATTTAGTGAACAGATATTCGGATATCGTGATCTCAAAGTTGGCATATTTTACACAGCAGACTCTCTATCAACATGTATAGATATTTCTTATACATCGAAAGTTGATCCTCAACTCTCCAAAGGTGTTATGGTAAGTCTTTTCCTTGAGGTAATTAATTCATTTCTATCTTTCATACTTTAGCCTGATGATATTATGCATTTATTATCTGATGTTTATCCATATAACATCAATAAGAACTTGAACGATTTTTTGAAAAACTTTGATGAAAAGTTTACTTTCACTCCATATGGGGTTAACAGATATAGTTATCAAATTATGAAAGGTATTTTCTCAATAAGTAATATTAATTTGTTGCAGATAAATGTCCAAAAAAGTTTTCTGTTTTTTTCATCGAGCATGGTATGCCTGGATTTGAGAAATTCCTTGAATATCATAAGCGGATGGAATCTTTCCTTCTTTTCTTCATAGATGGTGCGTCTGCTATATCTACAGAAGATATTCAGTGGTGTTATTACATGATGTAAATTACCAAGTTTATTATCGTTTTTTGTTTAAATAACGATCTTTCTAGTTATGAAAATATTGGTCAAACAGATGACGGAAAAGTCAAATACGGATTTATTGGTTACATGACAGTTTATAAGTTTTATGCTTATCCCAAAAATCTTCGACCACGCGTTAGCCAAGTCCTGATCCTCCCACCTTTTAGAAACAATGGCCATGCTACGCAACTCTTACAAACTTTTTATCGTGATTTTGTACCAATGTCGAATGTCATTGATATAGCAGGTGAGATCATTATTTGTAAAAAAAACAACATCGTAATTAGTTTTAAAAAACGATGTGTGATAAATTATTCAGAGTTATCGACAAAACGTGTACAAATTTGGGTCGTTATTTTGTACTTAATAATCACTATGTATAATCATGTAATTCATTAATCGGCACCATCGACTACACACTTAAATTCAGTCAGTTATACGCAACGTAGTACCTGACATATATGTGTATCGATTCAAGTTGCCATTATCACATTAGCACAACGGGATAAACTTATATAAAGATAAATTCCAGAGTATTAGAAATAATAACAGTATCAGTAGTGGTATAGAATATTATGTACTTAAGTTATATTCATTTTAATACTTTTCAGTGCTTGAAGTCACTAACTTCTAGTCTTTGCCACGTTGGTAGATGCAGACTACTTGGTTGGGGTCCGCGTGACTATCGTAACCAATGGTTGGAGACTCTGGGTGGCATGGCTCAGAATCGATCACAATGGCGTAGGTGTATACATTCTTTTTCTTACCTTAAACCGTGAGATTAAAATCACTTCATATCTTTCTTTCTATGAACTAATTCTCTCTTCCTGTACTATGTCCTCATACAAAATCTTTCTTTTATATATTACCACCATTGAGTTGGCTGCTTCTATGAATCCGGTCTTCATCTTGCTGTGCTAATTAGGTATGGCAAATTGGGCCGATGCATATATGTGCCCAGTCCTACGTTGGAGCCGACTGACTGACTACCATTTTACATAACTGTCATCTGATTCGTAACTTTAACGAACAAGGCAAGTATTCTTAGTTCATCTTATTTCCAAAAAAAACTTATTTAACCTAACAATATATATCCAAGGTAAATATGATTGTTAAAAAGTCAACTCATCAGTACGTGACTAGCAAAGCTTACGGGTTAATCTATGGTTTAGTGTTTAGAATACTCGGGTTTCAACCAATAAATCTCAGGTTATAACCTCTCTTCACCTATTTCGGTAAAGGCAGTTGAGTAGTATCACTACTACCTCACACAAAAAAGAATGGTTCGAAATAAAGTACAAGCTAATTAGTGTCTTGAGTTGAATTATGTAGGACTTACTTTCTGTTAGAAACGTAAGCCATTAAAAATAACTGGAAATATGTTTATAGAATAGCAACTAGTAGCAGTTGAATCTTAACACGAAAGAAATGATAGATTATCGTTAATTGAGTGGAGTCACCAAATAGTTCAACCGCTCATCAGACGTGTGACTAGTCTGCCTCTCAATACTCAACTTGATTGGTCCTTGATAATTTTGAGGGTACTGCATAGTATTAACATTTTTAATTGTAGTATTTTAATTTGTTTCTGAATCATTTGTTTGGTAATGCAGACTTGAAATATCTTTAAACAAAATAGAAGAATCAAACTAACAACTAGTTTTATATCTATATGATCTAATTTTACCCTTAGTGGTGGCAAGTTTTTGTTTTTAATGAAATGTGCTAACTTTTCACATGTTATTGATTCGTTCTATTATAGTTGAAGACCCATCGCCTGACTTTCAGCGTATCAGAGATTTATTGGATTGCAAACGGTGCTTGGAAACCCCAGAAGTAATGCAAACTATAACACAGTCTAATTGTGTGAATGGACAAATTATTAGTGAAAAGTCTTCTGCAATACGCTTCCGAGAAATTTCAAGGACAAAGTTAAAACTAAATCGTTGTCAAAGTCGACGAGTGTATGAAATTCTTCGATTGTTTTTGTTGCCTCGTACAGATGAATATGTGAAGTCGTTTTCTGACGCATTAACTAAGCGTGCCACTGCATACTTTCAGGTATGCTGTATTATTGTATTTGTATATTTGAACTCATCCTTGAGTAAATTTAACGTTAATGATGGTTATCCCATGTATTCATGATAAAATAGATATGGTGCACTAGAATATCAAATTATTTCCTACAGTCACTCGGTTTTTCTCAATAAATAGACATTATTAGGATTTGTATTATTGTCGTAAAGTTTGGTATGTTTACTTTGTAGCCATTTAAACAATAAAAATAATTTCCATTTTTGAGTTGTTTACTTTTCTTTCAGAAAATTGAGTAGCTAATGACGAAGTTGTTGTTTCATATAACAAGGCTTCTTTCAAAAACAAGTACAAACTTTATAGCTATTATGACTTTTTTAAGCCTCAGAAATTGTAAATTTCCAACATAAAGGACATTCTACCACATTCTTCAATATCCCTCATAATGATTTTATTGTGTATTACTTAAATTTTTGACTCTTAGAACACTAAATAGTCATCATGATCCCACTTTCTATTTAGTATTGGAATTTGACTTGATCTTCAAATGTAAATTGCTATAGATCACAAATTGAATATGATAAATAAAAAGCTTAAAAACGCCAGCTTCCTTCATGAAGTAGAATGTTATACGGCATATTAGACAGTTCAAATATCCCATATGAACTTTTAATGAAAGCTATCCTTAAATATGCTAGCAGTCTAGTTCAGTAAAAAATTTCGTTTTATCATTCTAAAGCTTGCCTCAGTATTCATCGTCTAGTTTGATTTACCACATTATTTTTTTCTGGACGATCTTTCAAATATGAGTGTTGGTTATTGCTCGCGGTATCACAATGGTACAGTACGATCAAAGTACCAACGAGAATTTAATTCACAAAAGTTGTTTAGTAATTTTAAACTTATTTCAATTAAAATCTAATATTCTGTAAATTCTTTGCCTGGTGTTATAAAAACCATAGACGGTTAAAAATAGGACTGAATAACATCTTATATGGTATTGTTAATACTTATTTACTTCATTATTATAATTTACAGCTTCTTCGTCAAATGAGTATGATTATCATTGTTATTAATACGTACTTAATCATGTATCATAGCTCCTCATTCATTTGTATTGTTTTTTTTAACTACGATTAAGCGGGTTCGACCAGATGCTATGCGAGGGTCTTCTTTGGTACCTAAAACAAGTGGTTCTTCTTCTTATAATCCATTGAAAAAGGCGTTTGATGAAGCTGCAGACGAATATTTTGAAAGTCAACTGCATGAAGAAGTTTCTACCTTGTTGAAAAACTATCAAGACATTGTACATAAACTTGATCGTTTCGTTTCTTCACTTAAAAAACAGTCGTAATTAGTGTTGTGTAAGATGTTCCCTTGTATTGTTTTTCCTCCTGAAAAGAGTATTGTACCGAGATTTTTACTCAGTAAAAATTGTATTTTGTTAAACCTGTTCCAATTTAGAATTGATACGATGATAAGCCTTGCAAGTTTATGTACGATAACCATAAAGTTACTGGATAACTTATTTAGGAGCTGTAATCGTCATGATTTCGTATGCTCAAAGTTAAAATAGGCTGAGGGAATCTTTTAACTTTTTTGGAGATTTTGATATTTAACTTCGAGTCTTATAGTAATTAAAAATTTACGAGTAGATGATCTGTGGAATTATGTATATGAAAACTGTGTATACGTGACTACTGATATTATATATATGCGCGTGGCTTTCTATTGTTTAACTTATTGGTTTCAAAAGTGTCAATGGTAAAACGATCATATCTGCCTCGAATACACTGTGTACTTTACTATATTCCAGTCATATTCAGGAAGATAGACATTCCAACCACTGTAGTCCAACTAAGTTACATTGATATATTAATCTACTATAAACCCCATTTAATAACTGTTATTCAACAGTCATAGTTACATTATTTATGTTTCCAATGTAACTGGTCTATCAACTATGTGACTAAGTCACTAAAGTTAAGATATTTGTGAATGCGGGAGTCTGCTTTTGAATAGTCAACTCATACAGTTGAGGCCCTTTCGAAGCCACCTTCCCACATTTTGTTTTCATTATGGATGAAATTGTAGGATTAATTAATCAGAACAGATGACGTATTGGAAGTCGACAAATCCTCTTTTCTCAACGCCTTTAACCATAATTTTCTACTCATTGAGATATTACAAGTATATTATTTATTTATAACAATCAACCCAATGCTCAATTTATTCGAAATTATCAAATCAAACCTTGGTAATGATACCTACATTATTTTCAGTTTATATCTACTTGCCAAATACTTACATTGAAAGAAAAGAGAAGTGTATATGTCTCTATTTCCGACGATGTTCCAGAGAATTTGGAACTAAAAGTATACACAACGCGAAAGAGCCCAATCGGCCTATATTTAACCGACAGCAGGAATATTATTTATATTCTTTAATCCTTCGAAGTAACTAAACAAAAGACCCCATTCTTCAAACATATAAGTACTGTAGTGAACAGAACACCAGTGAGAAACCAATCGAATGTATTCGACAACAAATTACAGAACTAGTTAGTAAAATCTAACAACCATATAATAAATGTTCAATTTGCAAAATACCCATCAATTGTCTCAAATGACTCAGACTTCCTTTGTTCTTGCATTTTCATACAAATTGCGTTCTGTTTTCAGTCTCTACTGTTCGATCTTCTTGTCTCCCTGCTGCCAGACATTCTGTTCACGACTAACATTATATACTATTTATGTCTACATAAGTAGCACACACCACAGTACTACGTAGTTTGTCTTATGGACCTTCTGATTTTAGATAACATTTACCCCACCCTCTTTACACTTTCTATATCTTCAAATGACCTTACACGTGTTTATATATATATATATATATATATATATATATATATATATATATATATATACAGTACTGATAATCTTGGTCAGTTCAATTTTGCCGTCGCAGCTGTTTATTGTTTTATTTTTATATGAATACGCAGTGCTAAGTAACCGATAAGAGACCATGAACTAAAAATGAATTTCTTTTATTCCAAATCAGTTGTTGCTCTTGCTTTATTAAAATACATAGACCGCAACCGGTTAGCGCGTCCAGCTCTTAGCCGAAAGGTTGGTGGTTCGCCCCCAAATGCCCTGGTACAGCCGAGAGTGGGGAAAGTCCGCTCACCCTCTTCAAATGCTCTCACATGGTCACGCGTATATAGCCTCTGCCAGGGAAGTCCTACTCACTGCATTCTCGTGGCGGGGGTGTTGTTTACGAAATTGAGAGGACGAAAAACGAATGTCGGCGCTGTAACCGGGTTGGTGAACATGAAGGGTCCCTCTGGGAGAGCTGGAAAATCCTGATTCCAAACCAATGGTTCACATGGACTGCAGTATCCTGAGGGAACAAATGGCGTATGAACCAATCGTTGGTCACTGGCTACCATGGGATTGCATCTCCTTACATTGCTCCACTGCCTTGTGGACCAGATCTTCAGGTCGAAGGCTCCGGGTGTGGCCCCCTAAGGAATCCATCTGCTTCGGTTTGGGCAGCCGGGAAGTATCACAGCCCTCACACAAATCAAATGAGATTTGTGTGGCGCATATGTATTTGGTGCTTCCTTGTAACAATATCTATGTGTTCAAATAAAATAAACAAATACTGTATATGAAATGGTTATTATTATTCTCCACTCCTGATTACCACGACTTTGTAAATGTATCTCCACAGCAATCCCAATCAGATTTAAGTCTTAATACATCATTTTATAATAATTTTTTCTCACTTAAGAAATATTTTTGCGCTTTATTGGATAAAAAGATAGTTAAGTATTTTTGTTATCCTACAATATGACATCTTTGAGATGGTTTGCTTTGTTTGATGCCTATAATATTTTGAAAGCTACCTCTTACTACTTATGAGTAGTAAGTGATTTATCCATAAATTTGTGACGTTTTTCGTAGAATGGTTTTCAAGAATATATGCTTTATAGTAAATGTTGCCTTTCACTTGAATAAGAAGAAAATCTTTAAAGTTTACGGTTATTATTAAATTGATTCCACCTGCCCATAAATTAGCTTCATTCCGTGTGTACACATATTTTTACCTTCAAATTCACTTTCGTACCATTTTTCATTACTACTGATATTTTATTTAGTCCTTTTGTTGTTTTGAGTTGTGAAACTCACACTTAAGCATTAGATTTTCAATTATATTTGTGAATCGACATGTGTTTAACTGCTTGAGCCCTTCACGGTCTATTCAATTTTTACGCTGCGAATTGACTGTGAAGAGATCTCATTTTGGCTATGTTCTTTGTTTTGAGTAAACTTGGTTCTTTGTCAGATTCTATTGGTTTTTCCTAAAATCCTGAACGCTTGTTTTACGTCTATTGGATTTTCCAATTTGAAACTATTTAGATTAGTTCGTTGTTGGGCGACAATCAATTTCATGTTTGCCTAGTTTTGGGTGATGATGGAATTCTGTCTATCAAGTTGCAGTATTACAATTAATCTTTACTACTTGACATCATGTGATCTGTTTTATGAAGCTAGGTGGTCGAAAGTAGTCGATTTCTTGCTAGTTGGTGCTCGCCATAAAGACATACCTGAAATTTCGAGGGAGCTGACGCTTCTTTGTGAATTCGAATAAGGGTCACTCAATTTTCAGTCTGAAATGTCGCCCCCAGTTCTCTGAAGATTTAGGGTACGCCTTGTTGATAAGTATCAACTAGCAAAACACCTAGGTCCAGGATTTCCTGCTGATTATCTCCAGCAACCTAACACGAAAATCAGCAGTTAAAATCTGTTGATTTTTTATTCTCAATGGATATCGGATTTCAAATGATTTCTTAAAATGTTAAATTACAATTAAAGCAATCATTGATGTTGTGGAATGTATCAAGCAACTGTTCGTAAACCAAAATCACTTATTGATTTTTGTTTATAGTGAAATATATTTAAGTAGTTCTATTCCGTGTTTTGCATACTCAGAAAAAAACATAAGAGTTCTTTGAAAGAAAATAATTTCTAAATTACATACTAGCGGAAGAATATTGTAACTAGTCAAGAATTATAAATACAACTTTTCTAGACCAGCCTTTCTAATATTTTATTCTACCGGGCAATCTGTTGATTAATTTCTGTGAATCACACATTCTATGGAACCATTAATTTCAATGGTTTACAGATTTTGTTGACTTTATCTGACTTTCTATGGTTAGAAAACAGCTCTTGAAATCTCTTTCATTGAAATTCCAAACCTCCTTTTCAAAAAGTTTGCCGAAGTTCCGTGTTATCCACTCACAAGCATCTAACATATCACGCGCAACGAATCTCATACCGAAAATGTAGCGAGAGGTAAAATTGATCCCAATACCTAAGAAAGTATCTGGCAATTAGAATGTGAAATTTAGACCCATAGCAATAACTTCATCTTTTCTCAAAACAATGGAAAAATTGTTGATACTCCCACCTCAGTCTCCACTAAAAATGCACAGTATCAGTTTGCTTACAAATGCAAAAAGGGGCCATAGATGCTGCTGTTGTTCCATCTGACTGACTACATAAAGAGGCTACCTACTTTTGGCACTACTCGATATTTACTCTTACAATTTGTCGATTCTTACATATTACCTATCAATCTTTACTGTTCTCCATTATTCTTTCCCAGGCTTTTAGGAAAAGCCTTTGCTGTATTGAGGAGAGTTCTGAAGGCAGTTAGCAGGGTGTGGTGAATCTTTTGAGGTCTTTATTAATAAGGTTGTAGTTCGACAGCTAGTCTTACAAACTCCTGTCAGGCGTTGTGTTATTAGATATTAACTATCCACTTCATATTTTTATCTTTGTATATCTTCTGGTAGAACGAGACCTAAATACATTAGAACCCATGCACGCAAGCGAAGATACGAAAGCTCTACAATACCTTATCTAGCAAATATACTATTTAATGAACAGGTTGTTAGAGTTGACCTAATCAACAACTTGTATTTTTCAACATGTTTCTAATTAGAAATGTACAGGTTCAAATCTTGAAAAACAACCCATAGTGTCATTGAATAAGAAAAAGAGAATTCGGTGAGGAAAATTTTCTTCGCCGAATTCTCTTTTTCTTGAAAAACGCTTATTTTAATTACAGGTAGTTTATCTACTTAACTTATGTTTGTGTGTATGCAGTTACTAGTTTCTTTCACTATTTTTCTTTTTTTTTCAAAAGAAACTTGTTGAAATACCTTGTGTTGAGAATTCTATATTGTACCAAAAATATGATATTGAATAAAGCCATTAATTATTATTATTATTGTTATTATTATTATTATTATTATTATTATTATTATTATTATTATATAATTAAGCTTATGTTTTTAAACGCTGCAGTCAGACAATTCATAATCCTATGTATTTTAAATAAACGGTTGTAATTTGATGGTCACGGAACCGTTTGGA